AGGGTAATGCTGGCCTCACAGAATGAGTTTGGAAGTATTCCCTGATCTTCAATTTTTTTGGAAGGCTTTAGGAGATTTTTTTTTTTTTTTTTTTGAGTCAGAATGTCACTCTCATTGCCTAGGCTGGAGTGCAGTGGTATAATCTTGGCTCACTGCAACCTTGACCTCCCAGGCTTATGTCCTCCCAACTCAGCAGCCTCCTGAGTAGCTGGGATGTCAGGCACACACCACCTTGCCTGGCTAGGTATTAGTTCTTTAAATGTTTCACAGAATTCGGCAGTGAAACCATCTGGTCCTGGACTTTTGTTTAATGGGAGACTTCTTATTATGGTTCTGATTTAGTTACTTGTTATTGATTGGTTGAGATTTTCTCCCTCTTTGATTGGTTGAGGTTTTCTGCCTCTTTATGGTTCAGTCTTGGTAGATTTTATGTGCCCTATAATTTATTCATTTTTTCTAGGTTTCCAATTTGTTGGTGCATAATTGTTCGTGATAGTCTCTAATGATTTTTTTTCCCCTGTGGTCTCAGTTTTTATGTTGCATTTTTCATTTCTGGTTTTGAGTCTTCTCTCTTTTCTTCTTAGTCCAACTAAAGATTTGTCAATTTTGCTTATCTTTTCAAAAATTCAAGTTTTTGTTTCATTGATCTTTTGTACTTTTTAAAATCTCAACTTTATTTATTTATGCTCTTACCTTTATTATTTCTTTTCTTCCACTAATTTGTGGTTTGGTTTTTTTCTTGTTTTTCTGATCCCTTAAGGCGCTTTATTAAGTTGTTTATTTGAAGTCTTTCTACTTTTTTGATGTAGGTGTTTATTGCTATAAACTTCTCTCTTACCACTGCTTTTGCTGTATGCTGTAGATTTTGGTATGTTATATTTCCATTTCCATTTGTTTCAAGAAATTTGTTGAGGAACATGTTGTTTAATTTCCATGTGTTTGTGTAGTTTCCAGAGTTCCTCTTGTTACTGATTTATTGTTAGTGTTTTTTTATTTCCTTTCAAATTGAAGAAACTCCTTTAGTATTTCTTGTAAGATGGGTCTGGTGATGGTAAATTCTCTCAACTTTTGTTTGTCTGGAAAAGCCTTTATCTCTCCTTCATAGCTGAAGGACAGCTTTGCTGGATACAGTATTCTTGGATGAGAACTTTTTTTCTTTCAGCACTTTGAAAATTTTATTCCACTCCCTTCTGGCCTGTTTGCTTTCCACAGATAAGTCTGTCATCAGATGAATTGAAGCTTCTTTATATGTTATTTGCTTCTTTTATCTTGCTCTTTGTCCTTGATCTTTGAGAATGTGATTATTATATGCCTTGGGAAGTCTTAGTTGGGTCAGATCTGTTTGGCGTTCCCTGACATTCCTGCACCTGAATGTTTATCTCTTTCTCAAGTTTTGCAAAGTTTCCCGTGGCGTCTTTGAAAAATCTTTCTACTCCTTGCTCTTATATAACTCCCTCTTAAACACCAGTGATTCTTAGACTTTGTCTTTTGAGGTAATTTTCTCTATCTTGTTGACAATCTTTGTTTCTTTTCATTATTTTTTCTTCTGTATGTATTTTCAAATTGCCTGTCTTTGAGCTCATGTACTCTTATGTCTGCTTGATCCATTCTCCCACTGACAGTTTCTAATGAATTTTTTAGTGCATCAAATATATTTCTCAGTTTGAAGATTTCTGTTTGTTTTTATTATTATTTTAATCTCTTTGTTAAATTTCTCTAATAAATTTTCGAATTACTTTTCTGGGTTATTGTGAAAATCACTGAATTTCCTTAAAACTGCTATTTTGAATGCTTGTTCAGAGAGATCACATATCACCATCTTGTTAGGCTTAGTCACTGGTTCCTTGCTTCATCTGTTTGGGGGAAGTTATGGTTCCCTGTTTGCTCTTGTCACTTATGAATGTATGTCTATGTGTTTGCATTGGAGAATTATTTAGTTATTTTATTCTTTTCTGTCTGGCTTTTTTTTTTAAATTGTATATATTTGCTTAGAGAGTCATTGTAATTTACCTGTTGAATTTTCTTTCTTTTTCCTTTAGGTTACTGCCTCCCAACTTTGTCTCTGGCTGTACCCAGTGATATTTCTTCCTTTAGGCATTCCCCATGCTTCCTATGAGTTGAGGTAGGAACAGGTATCGTGCCAGGGAACTCAGGATGATGGGGAAGCTGCTTGTTACCTTGATTTTACTTTTTCCAGTGTTAAGCTGAGAGTCAGGGAGAAATTTTCCATGTGCTTGGTGCTGGCGGATTGGAGAGAGGGGCATCTTGGCTATGGCTGTCCCCTTATCTTACCATCTGCTTGGAGCTTTTTCACTTCTCTGTGGCACTGAGGACTGTCTCATCTTTGTATTTTAGTTCTGGGATATTGGTGGTGATAACCTTAGTGCTGTAAATTTGGTTTTTGTTTTCTGTTGGGGAAACAAAGCCATGCCAACATTTAGAACCAGAAACTTGCTTCCACACCAACATTTTAGAAACAGAAACTTAATTATATTACACCTTATAGTGCTCTGCTGAATTGAATTCAAATAAGAAATTTGAATAAATTTACCTCTTCAGCAACTATCCTAAATCCTTGCTACTCAAAATGTGGTCATTGCACCAGCAGCATTGAACTCACCTGGGAACCTGTTAGAAATGTGGAATCTTGGGTGGGTATGGTGGCTTATGCCTGTAATCCCAGCACTTTGGGAGGCTGAGACAGATGGATCACCTGAGGGTTGGGAGTTCAAGACCAGCCTGACCAACATGGAAAAACCCTGTCTCTAAAAAAAAAATAATAATAAATAATAAATAAATAAATAAACAAAGAAATGTGGAATCTCAGGCCCACCCCAGACCTACTGAATCAAAATCTGCATTTTAACAAGCTCTCCGAGAGACTGGTGTGTACCTTCATATTCGAAAAGCACTGTCCTGAAATATTCTGGTAGACTTGTTTTGACAGGTGCTGCCTTTAGCTGTTTGTAGTGTTGTATCTTTAATTCCATAACACGACAGCTAAAGGTTGTATATTTTGACAATTATTTTAATGCCACATTAATAGCCTTTTATTGGGTAAATGTTAGTCTCTCTGAATTATTGCTCATGCTTACTGTATCTCAGGATGAAAGCACTTGGGCTCATTTTTCTAGTTCTAGCAGAGTAAAAGTATGCATTTCCCTCTCCACTTCTACCCCTTTATATTTCATTTCTTGCCACAAACAGGATTTCTTTCCTCCTTAACTCTCCATCTTCATGGTTCTCAGAAATACGTAGGTCCCAAAGCACAGTCAGCATTTTGCTCAAGTGGAAAATGTTCATATATAGTTGGGGTCATATGCCAGCTGTGTGCATGCGTATCAGTTTTATACAGATGGAATTTCAGGTTCAAATGCTATAATCAAACCATCTTGCACGATACTTTCTACACTCTTATTTTACAATGCGTGTGAACTTTCTTTTTGTTTTTGGCTGATAAATGTTGATTGCTTTATTTCACTGGTCAAGATTGCTGTAGAGGTATGCATGATATTCCATTTGATTTTGTCCTCTACGCCGTAGTTAAGAAAACTTTGTGTTGTGAGCGATCACATACATGAGTTTGGTATATTTTCCCAACTTTTTAATTAGCTTAATGTCAGCCAGTTGATTCTGTATGGCAAAGTTCCACAGTGACATCCTATTATGCCATAGGGCCACGTAAACAAGGAGGAGATCCATGTCAGCAAATTTCTAGCTAATTCAGGGATAGTCCTTCAAGTTTCATATTCTTTAAGTTTTGACTCTTTTAAAGGTGGTCTTCATATAACATCACATACATCTTTAGCACCTTAGGTAGAAGGCGCTAAAAACGATTTTGTCTTTGAGGACAACTCCGATCACTGTATTGTGAATTGCGAGGCCATTGTACCATGGGGCGTGATTTTCTCTGAGGCAGTGGCAGATGGGACTGCTGGCAGTGGGATTATTTCTTGTTCCATCAAGTGACCTCTGGTTGCTGTATTTTTCAGTAGTCTGCTTTGGTTTTACTCTGTTGTTCCAGGCTTTTTGCTGTCCGGGCTCACAGTAGTGTACCTTGCCTCTGGTATATTCTGTCTCCTGAGCCCTTTGCCCTTCTATTGTGGTGCTTTTAATTTGTTATATATTAAAAACCTGCTAGGTAATCTTGCTAGAATACATTGTAATTAAGAGTAGGCTCAGAGTGATGTCTTCAGAGGGTGAGCTAGGAATCATATAGGTACTTTTATGGTACAAACTTTAATAAAACTTGTGAGCAGCCATAGCTGGTTTGGTTCATCTTGCCTTTGGGTTATTTCACTGTTCACTGACTATGTGCTATGTGCTAGGCACATATGAGATTGAAGTAAACATTCTTGTCGTTCCCATAATCTGGGGATAGGCAAAGTACAAAGCAAAGCATTACACCTATGTGATATAGATGTAAACACTGTACTTGGGGCTTGCATGAAGAAGAGTCATAAATTTGACCAGACTTACTGGAAGATGTAAGATTGGGTGGGAGGAAGGACACTTTAGTCATGGAGGGACAGGTAGGGTGGAAGGGAGAGGATGTCCTAGGTGGAAGCAAAAGTGTGAGCACAGGTGTAATTTATTTGAGTGTGGTTGAAGCATGAAACATCTGTGGTGGGTACCCAGAGGGAACATTGAAGTGTTATTCACAGTTTTGCCTTGCGGTCTAGGATGGCAGCATTGCAGACTGCTCCGCCTGTGGTTCATAGCATGTAGCACCTAGAAGGTGGGTAGATGTCTCTGCTTATGTTGTGTGAAAATTAAAGAAGCTCATTTGTGTGGAAAACAAAGCCCGCATTGGAAGATTTTCTCATCAGGGATGTCATTTTACAAAATAGAGGTCTTTAGGAGAACGTACACAGCAATTTCCTTGTCCCAAGTTTTGAAACATTTTTTAAAACCATTTGTAAAGCTTTTGAAACTTCTTGTTCTTGTGTTTTAGAGTTTACATCTATAATTGATGGTATTATTTTTCTTTACCCTTACAGTACGGCCAAGTACAGCGTGTTGACATTTCTACCTCGATTCTTGTATGAGCAGATTAGAAGAGCTGCTAATGCCTTCTTCCTCTTCATTGCCTTATTACAGGTAATGGTTTTAACAGTTACTTGGAATTCACAACCTTAATTACATGTAAGATGAGATTTTGCAAAAGATTCCTGAACTGCTAAAGTGTTACAATCTTGTAATATAGTTTGTTTCCCTCCTCCAGTCCTTGTTGCATAGAGTGAACAAGCTTGACTTTGTTTATAGGGAGAGTTCTTTTGGTATGGCCTTAAGGATGATTGCAGTGACTGAAAGAGGCATTGCAAAGAGGCCTTAGGGCCATACTTTTAAGCCTTTTTCTGTTCCAAACACATAACTAATGTTGGATAAAATTTTTAAAAATATGTAAAATACATAGGTAGTTTTTAAAGTAAGGTAATTATTTTTGAGTAACAGAAATGGAACAGAACTTCAACAGTGTGAGCCATGAGTGCCATAATTTCCTTTTTGTGGAGACGATTTTTATGTGCCAACTTCCTTCTTCTGGTCTCTTATCTTCCAGCAAATTCCAGATGTATCTCCAACAGGAAGATATACCACCCTGGTGCCATTGATCATTATTTTAACAATTGCAGGCATCAAAGAGATTGTAGAAGATTTTGTAAGTTTTTGCTTTTGGATAATAAAATAATTGTATGCAATAGATCATAACTTGTGTGTTGCCTTGGATGATATATTTAAGGCAAGAAATTGAGCTATAGCTTAACCAGACTCTCTAGATGCCTGATAGTATTTTTGGGGGGAGGAATGTATACTCAGAGTGTCCTAAATACCTGTACAGTGATACTGAACAATTCAAACTTTGTTTTCAAATGTTAGGTCTCTAGAGCCCCATTGATTTTTATCACTGATGCTCCTTATAGCCTGCTTTAGAGCTTGCTAATTTGGGTAGCAAATGAAGGATTGCCTTGCAGTCTAGGATGGTAGCATTATTTCATGGTGCCTGAGGCAATTTTCTCCCCTCACACTCATCCTAGTGTGTCTCCAAGTTCATGGGCTATGACAACTATATTCCTTTTCTCTCTCTTTCTTGCTCTGTCTCCACTCGTGTGTGTGTGTGTGTGTGTGTGTGTGCGCGTGCGTGCACGCGCATCTGTGTGCTGTCTCTCTGTCTCTGGATCTTCCTCTCCTTCTCCCTTTCTCACACACACACACACACACACACACACACACACACACCCCACTTGCTTTCACACACATATATACATCTTTCTGGGAATAGGCGTGCAAATAAATATAATACAGGTTAAGCATCCCTAAATCCAAAAACCCCAAATCTGAAATGCTTCCAAATCCAAAACTTTTTGCACACCAACATGATGCCACAACTGGAAAACTTCACACCTGACCTCATGTGATGGCTACACAAAATTATTATAAATATTGTATGAAATTACCTTCAGGTTATGTGCATAAAGTGAATATAAAACATAAATTTCGTGTTTAGACGTGGGTCCCATCCCAGAGACATCTAAATCTGAAACCCGAAATACTTCTTGTCCTGAGCATGTCAGATAAGGAATCCTTAACCTGTACACATTGAAACAAAGTTACTTTATCAAGAAAATGAAGTTGGCTGTTTGTTGCTGGGTTTGTCACACTGAATAATCATTTCAGTCTGATCTAAAGCAAGGAGTAGAAAGTTTTGTACTTCCATGTGCTAGAACCAAAGTGAAATAATTGAAACCAGAGGAGACCACTTCTAAACTCAGGGAGTGCTGATGGATCACAAAATTGTCGAACCGAATTTTATAGCATGAGCATTACTGGGAGTTAGTTTCTTTTTCCCCTGTCATTTCTTGATTGCTTTGTTTGCTGTTTCAATTATTCATGTGGAACTTTTGAATGTTAGAACTATTTTTTTCTCTTTCTGTAACAGAAGCGACACAAAGCAGATAATGCAGTTAACAAAAAGAAAACAATAGGTAAGCTCCCAGGCTGAATCACTTTTTCTACTGGAAAACTTATGAGTAAGGCCTGCATTTAAGGAATTTTAAATAAGTAGTGAATGGTATTGAGATAAATTGAGAAGATGATCTATAAAATACTTCAAAGAAATAGTAAAATAACAAACAAATTGAACAGAATTTTAGTCCTGATATTAAGATTTGAACAGGATTTATGTATTTTAGAATGTTAGAAAAGGTTGTAATTTTCAGGAACTAGACAGTTTTTATGTCCATAAAAAGTCTAAGCATTCATGTCCTTCATTTGTAATCTTTTCTTACTTCCCTCATCTGCTTTTTATTGTTTGATTTCTACAGCATCAATTTTTTGTTTGTTTGTTTAATTTTTTGAGACAGGGTCTCACTCCTATTGCCCAGGCTGGAGTGGAGTGGCATGATCATGGCTCACTGTAGCTTTGACCTCCCGGGCTCAGGTGAACCTCCCACCTCAGCCTCCTGAGTAGCTGGGACTACAGGCACACACCACCACCCCCGACTAATTATTGTATTTTTAGTAAAGATGGGTTTCACTATGTTGCCCAGGTTAGTCTCGAACTTCTGGGCTCAAGCAATCTGCCTGCCTTGGCTTCCCAAAATGTTAGGATTACAGGTGTGAGCCACCGCGCACAGCTGTGTAGATTTTTAAAAAATTGTGTAACAGCAGGCTTTTTTTCTTCTGGGCTGAAAATAAGTTATATACTTATTTTTTTTACATACTTATTGTATGTATGTAAGTTAACTTACATACAATAAACATTTATGTGTATGCATATATATATATATATATATATATATATATATGCTACAGAGGTACATGGATTGGTGTTCCATGATGGTGTTGCACCATCATGGCAAAAGATAGGGTATGGTAGAATTAATAAATGGAATTCCAAGAGAAGGCTTTTGGATTTTAGGAAGCTGATTCAATTTATTACCAGTATTAACTAAAACTTTATTTTTCTCTTTTTCAGTGTTAAGAAATGGAATGTGGCATACCATTATGTGGAAAGAGGTAAAAACGAATTTTCAAGATGTACCAGAACTATTGGTTTGAAGACATGTAATGAATTGCTGGTCTTGATTGCAGTATAAAGTTTGTGTTAAGACATAGTGGAGTTTTCCATGAGGTCTGCTGAAACCTGATACACGTTTACTCTGTCTCCTGCCCCTTCTAGTATGGGCCCGAAGTGTCACTCCAAGCCATGAACTTCATTGCGCCTGACTGACATTTCTAGAATCTCTAAGTATTTTCTAGTTTGTAAATCCAATTTGAGAAACATTTTCCCTGGTCCTCTGTTGTCTTAACCTAGGTTAAAGTTTATTTTTGTTTTTAGCATTTGTGATTCTCACGTCTAACAATTTTGGCTGGAAAGATCATTAACTACAGAGTGGTGGAATGGGGGTAACAAACCATCCCACTTCAGTTCCAGTGCAGGGCTGCTTGAATTCAGCCAGTACAGCAGTTGCTGCTCTTAATAGCAAGGGAAGCTTTGTTTCCATGCCCCTGGAAGTATGAGGTTTGGAGGGTTGAAGAATGGTGTGGCTTTTTGGTTGTTTATAGTGTTGAGTAGAAAATTCAGAAGAAATCTGCCATACCATCTGGGTATTTTATATCTGATAAAATTAGCTTTTTAAATGAATGTTTTATCTGGACCTTCTTAATGGACACAAGATGTGTTGGGGGATGACTCTCATTAGTCCAGCATTCAAAGCCGATTAACATGATTTCAAAAGAAAACAACTTTTTAGAAAGGTAACTTGAAATAACTTTTCTTGCTAAACATTTAGTAAACAGTGTTTTTAAATGGCTCTTACAGTCTTTTGTATCTGAAAAATGCCTGTGATATGGTAACTGCAGCATTTGCTTTAGTTTTCATTTTACTATGCTTTGTTTTAGGAGAATCCCCCACCCTTTAAAGAAATTTCTCCTTTATAGTGTTTTGCAGTAATGCCTTAACCTTTGTAGCAGTCTCAAAGTCCTGTGTTGCAAACATTCATCAACCTCACATTTGGAAGGGTCATGGTTCTTGGTCAGGAGGTTGGGAATTCTTGAGTCACAGGCGGAGAACTGCTCCCAATGCTAAAGGAATTCAGAGGTTCTCCCAGCACTGGGAAATTGCCCCCCTATTTCTCTAGGGTTCCTCTTGTTACTCCTTCTCCAGAAAGGTATCAGTATCAGCTGGAGTAAAGGATGATTTGGATTCAGAGGTCCTGACACTACTTGAAACAGCAGAAAATGGAGTGATGGTCTCTGATTGATGGTCTTCTGTGATCCAGGAGCTGACGGCTTTGTAGGCTCCTGAAACTCATGACTGTTTCTCATGTTCATTTTGGGAGAGAAATAATAACAAACAAACACCAGTTAGATACTGTACCGCATGCATTTTTATTTCAGTTTAAGATATATGATGGGGCGCGGTGGCTCACGTCTGTAATCCCAGCACTTTGAGAGGCTGAGGTGGGTGGATCACCTGAAGTCAGGAGTTCGAGACCAGCCTGGCCAACATGGCAAAACCCTGTCTCTACTAAAAATACAAAAATTAGCCAGGCGTGGTGGTGGGCACCAGCTGCTGGGGAGGCTGAGGCAAGAGAATCATTTGAACCTGGGAGGCAGAGGTTGCAGTGAGCTGAGATCATGCCACTGCACTCCAGTGTGGGCAACAAGAGAGAGATTCCATCTAATCAATCAATCAATCAATCAATCAATCAATGTCTATCTATCTATCTATCTATCTTGGCATGTGCCAGAGATTGTATTAGGCACAGGAAGAATGACGCACAGTGCTTTCCTTAAGGAGTTTCAAACTTCAGTGGGCATCCCAGTCACCATCCACAGGGCCACTAGAATCCAGATGGCTGGGCCCCACTCCCAGGCTTTCTGATTCACTGGGTCTTGGGTGGGGCCCTAGAATTTGCACTTTAAAATTCTTAGTTGAGGCTGATGCCGATGGTGTAGGGAGCATACCCAAGAACCACCGGTGTCCTGGGAGAGAGAGGCAACTAACCCCGTGCAGTGCTATTGTTGAGCTCTGTGTAGGAGAAACCTTCCACTTTGGGAACAGCTGGGAGTGGCCACCCATCTAGACCCGGTGGTTGAAGTCAGGAAAGTCTGCCCTCAAGAGATGCTCTAGTGCTGTCTTGAAGGGTGAATCAGGGGTAACCAGCTGCAGAACTGTGAGTAGTTCAGTGTGAGGATGAGAATACAGGAGAGGGCAGAGATGTCAGGCAAGGGGGAGCTGGCTGTCCTTAAGATCCTGAAAATGATAACAATCTAATCTGAAGTGCTGAAGCTCAGGTCTGCTGCCCCCTGGGCTGTAGCTGAGTTATTGGTTCTGGCCCAGAGGCAGCTCTTGGGTGGATCTCAGTGGCTTTAATTGACTTCAGGAGGATCTTTTAGCTACTTCCTCAAAATTAAGAGACTTGAGGAACTCTCTGGGGCTAGAGTAGATTCAGGGATCTGGAGGGTTTCTGTTCCCACTCTACTAATTCTTTGAGGGAAAATTGTACACACAAGGAACAATCACGTAAGAACATTACGTAGAAAATCATTTCCAGGCCGGGTGCTCTCATGACTGTAATCCCAGCACTTTGGAAGGCCAAGGCAGGTGGATCAGTTGAACTCAGGAGCTCAAGACCAGCCTGGGCAACATAGCCAAACCCCATCTCTATAAAAAAATACAAAAACTAGCCGGGCGTGGTGGTGCGTGCCTGTAATCCCAGCTACTCAGGAGGCTGAAGTGGGAAGAACACTTGAGGCTGGGAGGCGGAGGTTGCAGTGAGCCTTGATCACGCCACTGCACTCCAGCCTGTGCGACAGAGTAAGACCTTGTCTCATAAACAGAAAACAACTAATCAAAGAAAAAATCATTTTTAAGCAAAATCCAAGTAAGTAGTTTCTCATGTACACCAAACTTCTCAGTACTTGGTTACTGGGATATGAATGCTTCTTTATTTAGAGAGTAAAGATGACAGAAAGCCATAATTTCTCTTGTCCTCCCACTTTGAATTTAAAAAAAAAATTCACTTCCTTTTTTCATTTGAAAACATGATGAATTTTCCTGTCTAGTGTTTTTTTCTTTATTAATTACTTCTTCTGATTTTTATATTTAATTAAACTATTTCTATAAAATATTTTTCCTTTTTTTTTTTTTTTTTTGACAGAATCTCACTCCGTTGCCCAGGCTGGAGTGCAGTGGTGCTGTCTTGGCTCACTGCAGCCTCCACCCCCTGGGTTCAAGTGATTCTCCTGCCTCAGTCTCCCCAGTAGCTGGGACTACAGGTGCCCACCACCACGCCCAGCACTTTGGAAGGCTAATTTTTTTTTTAGTGAGATAGGGATTTCATTGTGTTGGCCAGGCTGATCTTAAACTCCTGACCTCAAGTGATCCACCTGCCTCAGCCTCTCAAAGTGCTGGGATTATAGGTTTGAGCCACTATGTCCAGCCAGGAAATTTTTACTTTTAAAAAACACTTACAATTCACATAACTTTCCTTGCTTTTTTTTTTTTTTTGAGATGGAGTCTTGCTCTGTTACCAGGCTGGAGTGCAGTGGTGTGATCTTAGCTCACTGCAACATCTGCCTCCCAGGTTCAAGTGACTCTCCTGCCTCAGCCTCCCAAGTAGCTGGGACTATAGGTGCGCGCCACCACGCCTGGCTAATTTTTGTATTTTTAGAAGAGGGGCTTTCACCATGTTGGCCAGGATGGTCTCCATGTCTTGACTTCATGATCTGCTTGCCTTGGCCTCCCAAAGTGCTGGGATTACAGGTGTGAACCACCACGCCCGGCGCCATCCCTTCTTTTGTACTGGTGGTTGTTAAAATAGCTTTGTAGCATTTTATCCACACTTTAATAAACAACTTAAAGCACCAATAGGATACCTTTCAGTAAATTTGCCTTTTTCCCAACAGAAGATTAAACATGGGCACCTGCCAATTTATAAGATCTGGTAGTTTTTCACAAGTATCATATCACTTGAAATTCCTAGTTTCTAAGAGAATAGCAACGTGGCTAGAATAGGAAATAGAAAGCATAAATGCCTGTTTTGAGCTTTGCAATTATTACTGTACTAGGAATGGTCTTCTTTTGTCATCAGATAATTCCAATGTCCTTGACCTTCACAGTCATGATGTCCTTTCAGTTATACTTCTGCTGATGGTGACTGACATTTACATGGATCTCTTTTATGCCAGGTGCCATGTATACTTCCTTAGTCACTGAATCCGCCTTACAAGGCCGGTGGCACTGTTTTCCTGTTTCAGACATGAGACACTGGGGCGCTGAAGAGGCGAAGCAGCTTGCTGAGATCACAAAGCTAGCACAGGGCTATAAAGCTTGGGTTGGATTTGAAAGCCCCAGTTCTCGCTACCCTGATGCTTTCTGCAATGTTACTGACAAGATTTGTAGACACTTGGCCATGGTGCTATTTTGGAGACTATAGCCCTTTTCCTTGGCTTGGGATCTTCTGTCTGGTGGAGTCTGTTCCCCAGAGTGGTCTCTGACTTTGACTGTGATTCTTTTTCTGGGAATTTCTTAAGCCTGTACAAATCTCCATTTTATGTGGTGTATTTCCAGGGGGCCTTTTAGGTGCACTTTTCATGGGTGAATTTAGTGTTGCCTTTTAAAAAGAGCGTTGGCCTTCCCTGCAGCTTGCCCCATTCTGAATCCTGGCTCTAACACTCAGTAGCTGTATTACTGTGATCAAGTTATTTTGTTCAGCACCTCAATTTGTAAGACACAGAAAAAGATATAAGTTAACTTAGTTGATCTTTACAGTTACTCTATGAAATATGTGTCTTTATCCCCTTTATATAGATGAGAAAACTGAGATACACAGAGTTTACATAACTTGTTCATCATTACACAGCTCATCAGGGTGCAGTGGGAATTAAGCCCAGGCATTAGGCTGGCTCTGGAGGTGTGTGTGTGACCATTCTACCCACCACGTGCAGCTGTGGAGATGCTCACGTGTTTGTAAATGGATGGATAATTGTAAGAAAACGAGATCTTTATAGCTGTTCTGATTTATCCCTTTTCTCCCTCCCTTTGCTTTGTTGTTAACATTGCAGAAAGGCAACATTACCAGTGGCTGCATGGATGTACTTTCCTTTGGTTCTTGTCATGGAAAATAATTTGGGCTTCTCTGTCTTAAACTTCATGGCTTAGTTATATAGTAATTTTTCTTCAAATATTTAAGCACCTTTTTCACCATGTGTGTTTTCTTTTCTTTCATGCCTCTCTGTCCTCGTTGCTGGCTCTCTAGGTGGCAGTGGGAGACATTGTGAAGGTCGTCAATGGGCAGTATCTTCCAGCAGATGTGGTCCTGCTGTCCTCCAGGTCAGCTGTGCTAGTGAGCACCTTTTTTTTTTTGCAATAAATGTTAAGAACAATGAAATAATAAGCAGTGACTGGAGCAGTCTTGGGCCACCTGTTCCCTTCTACCATCCTCTGTCCCATTCTTCCATTTCTTGTCATTCGCCTTCTCCTGCCGTGACCCTTGTTTTCCTTCTCCCATTCATTCCTTTGTGCTTTTTCTGAACTCTTTTACGTGTATTGACTCCCACTTAGCCTTCTGGCTATTTGGGTGATAGTTCTTATTTATAGGGACACTGAGTCAAGAGCAGTGGAGTGGTCATTTCGTTAACATCAAGTTGCAGCATATCCGTGATTTCAGAATTTGTTTCCTGATGGGCTCTGCCAAGCAGTCTGTCCTGTAGAACCCAGAGCTCCACTTTAATAGCTGTTCAAGAACCACAGATGTTTTCTCAGTGTAAACGTGACCAGCAGATGGTGTTTGCTCTTCATCCATTCACGTTTGGCCCTTTTGTGTCCAAGTATCATTTTCACGTTCTCCAGGTAGTGTTATTCTAGGAAGGAATCATCACTCAGTGCAATTCTTGACATTTTTTGGGCTTGATGCAGGACCGTATATAGCTAGGAAAGAAAGCCAAAATTAGAACAAGAATAGACATCTATTCTTGAATTCAAGATTAAATTGTGTGACGTTAGGACTCTAACTTCCTATATTTATACACTATTGGAGTCATAGATACTCATGCTGCTTGCATTTTCTTTGATTGCAGACAGCGTTTCTTATGTTGAATTTAATCACTAATGGATTTTTAGCCTAAGCATTAGTTTTCTGCTTGAGATAATAGATTTTAAAATAGGATCCCAGGCCTATGGAGGGAAAAAGAACCAATAACGCAGGGCTAGATTTATGTTTGCCCATATTTATTAATAACAAAGAAATTCTTAGAAATATTGAATTATTGATCACTTGATAGTTTGGGCTATAAGTCTTGGCTGTGACCCTAGAAAATTGTGTGTGTGTGTGTGTGTATTTTGTTTTTGTTTTTTTTTTTTTTGGAGACAAGGTCTACTCTGTCACCAAGGCTGGAGTGTGGTGGCAGAATTGTATCTCACTGTAAGTTCAAACTCCTGGGCTGAAGTGATCCTCCGATCTCAGCCTCCTAAGTGGCTAGGACCACAGGTGCATGCCACTATGCCCGGTACATTTAAAAATTTTTTTTTTGTAGAGACTAATTTAGAAAAAGATTTTTAGATGTTGCCCAAGCTGGTTCTGGAACTCCTGGCCTCAAGCAGTCCTCCTGCCTTGGCCTCTCAAAGTGCTGGGATTATAGGCGTGAGCTACAGTGCCCAGCTAGTTTTTTTTTTTTTTTTAAACTTAGTCTTAATATGGGATTGCTTGAGCTGTCATCATATTTCCAGCATGCTCCTTATTAGTGTCTGAGTGTGTGCTATGTGCTGAACAGCTGTTGAAGAGGTTGGCCCACTTAATCTTCCCAATAACTCTTGAGAGACTTCTTTTGCACGTGACAAGATTGAGATACAGAAAGACTAAACAATTTGCCAAGGCCGTATAGCCCATAAAGGTGATGCCGGGGATTTTACCTTAACTAGTGGATTGCAGTCTATTCTCTTAAATCACTAACTATGTGAACTTAGCTAAACTCAAAGATTATAAATAGGAGTACAATATCTGTTATGCTTATTTTTATTCTTTGAGTTTTCTGTCTTTAATGATAGGTATTTTGATGAAAAAGTTGGCCGTGAGATTGTGAAAATGGCAGAGAAGCAAATCCTTGCTAAGCCCATGCCTCAATCCTTCAACTCCTCTGGCTGTCATTTTCTTCAAAAAGCGTGTGTGTGTCTACTGGCCATACCTTGGGCAGCCTTTTCGATCAGGCCCAGCCCCAGACTTGAAGGATTGCCTGAACTCAGTGGTTGCATCTGAGCGGGAACATCATGTGTTTCCCCTTCTCTTTCATCTTCAGTTCATTCTGTCTTCTTGAGGCTCAGCAGTCATTATGTGGGGCTTACAAGGGCAGATCATCTCGGCAAATGACTGAGTCTGTACTGCCGCTAAGTCCCAAAGATGAGTGTGTGTTTCCTTTTCCATCATTACTCCTACTATAGTGGTTATTTATAACAAATTATTTTGAAGGGCCAATCAGCAGGCATAGATTCCATAATAGAAATATTATAAGCTGTGAATTTGTGGAAAGGACTTTACTAAACTTGACTCTTTCTTTCTCTCTTCTCAGTGAACCTCAGGCAATGTGTTATGTCGAAACAGCTAATCTGGATGGGGAGACGAACCTTAAAATACGCCAGGTAAAGTCACCTCTGATGACTTGTGTTGTTATGGTGGACCCAACTGCATATGTGGTCCCCACACATCTTCTTCTAGAGAAACAAAATACTCAGTACAAAGGGTTAGGCCTTACCGCTAATGGAATCTATGGGAGGAATATGCTATCTATGATGAGGGGGAACACGTAAAGAGAGCTGGAAAAAGCGGGCTGCATCAAACTCTAGGTCCCAAAGGGTGCCAGGCATTCATATGGCGTCCTACTGAGTTTTTTGCCTGTGATGCTGGAGAGAGGGGACATCTCAGCAAAGCTGAGTGGGTGAGAAGGGCACAGCTTAGTGGACAAATGGAGCAAAAAGCTCCAGGTACCCCAGTTTACATCATTGTTATAATAAAGATTCTAATCCTAGAGAGTGACATAATTAGATACAAAACTTCCATGCCTTAAAGAAAACTATTCTTGTCATGTATTTTAATTCTAGAATGAAGAATAGTCTTTTTTCGTTCTTTTTTTTTGAGATGGAGTCTCACTCCGTCACCCAGGCTGGAGTGCAGTGTCGCAATCTCGGCTCACTGCAACCTCTGCCTACTGGGTTCAAGCAATTCTCCCACCTCACCCTCCTGACTATAGGTGCATGCCACCACACCTGGCTAATTTTTATAATTTTCAGTAGACAGGGAGTTTCACCATGTTGGCGAGGCTGGTCTTGAACTCCTAAACTCAAGTGATCTGCCTGCTTTGTCCTCCCAAAGTGCTGGCATTGCAGGCATAAGCCACTGCACCCAGCCAAAATGAAGAATGGTCTTTGACATATAACCTTTTTGAGGATTTTGACAATTAAAAAATTTTTGCTGCTTAAAGTTGAATTCAGAAATTCTATCTGTATATCTTTCTTTTCTACTGTAGATATTTGCTTAATTTTTTTTTTTTCCATTTGAAGAAGAGTTACAGCCTGGGCACCATAGCAAGACCCTATTCCAACAAAAAAATTTTAAAAATAGCTGGGCATGATGGCACACACCTGTAGCCCCAGCTACTTAGGAGGCTGAGGTGGGAGGGTCACTTGAGCCCAGGGTTTTGAGGCTGCAGTGAGCCATGATTGCACCACTGCACTCCAGCCTGGGGGACAGAGTGAGACCCTGTCTTTTAAATAAAAAGAGGAGAATGCTAGATAGTATAAAATATTAAAGGGCTACTCTATTCTATTTTCATGACCAGTGTTAGAGTACAGCTAGTAGATTATCCTTGCTGTAGGATGCTGGAGTATGTTAGCTATTACTTAGGCGCGGATGTTTCCAGAACAGTGGCGGGATCTTAACTTTCGGCTTCATTAAATTCTTTTGCCATTTTCACATTAGATTGGTGTGGCAAAAACTGCTGGGAAAGTCTGCCTTGAGGGGCTGACAGTTTGATTTGTTAGCTCCCCAAATTATTCCACTGGGGATGCCTTATTTTTCCTTTTGATTAACCACACGGATGCTGAATGGTGCCCCTAAACACAAAAGACTGTGTTTGATTTCCTATTTTGGTTTAATCTTTCAGGGTTTGAGCCACACTGCTGACATGCAAACCCGGGAAGTTTTGATGAAGTTATCTGGAACCATAGAATGTGAAGGGCCCAACCGCCACCTCTATGACTTCACTGGAAACTTGAACTTAGATGGGAAAAGGTATTGTATTCCTTTTCCTTGTTCTCTGTTAAACTATGTGACTAAGAATTACTGGAGCTTTGGAAAACATGTTTGTTTTCTAGTTTTGTACTATCTTAAAACAGTGAGATTTCATACCTTTAATTTAAAGCCTTCCTTAAATTTAAGAAAAAATCCCTGAGCCGAAGGTTCTCAGATGAAGCTCAAAGCATGTGGCATATTCTTTCTGTGCCTATTTTCTGCCAGGCAGGAGACATAGTTTTAGCTTCATAAAATTGTCCAGAAAAGCAGAGGAGAGCCATCTGAGGTGTATAAAAGCTAATACACGTGTTACATAAATGTGTATTTTTTTTTTTTGCTAGCCTCCTTCTAAGGAGCATTTGTTTGTTTTTAGAAAGCTGGGTGAAATGAACGCTTATTCTTTCTTTAGAATATTCAGTGCCCTCCTGTCCATACCTGTTATCTTTGTCCTTCTGGCGTTTGTTATGTTGTTCTGAAGCTGTCTTTTGTTATGATGTTGGGTTGTGGTTTCTACCTTCTGGCCATCTTTTGTTTTGTGCCTCTTGCCAATGCCCCCCACCCCCAACCCTGTAACCCAGCCTCTTGGGCTGTCCTTTCTATTTTGACGACCCAAGGCTTGGAAGGACCTGATCATGGGAGTCAACCCAAATTACTATAAATATGACAGCTAAGTGTGAGTGCTTCTTGGTTTCATTTAGCACATATAACTATTCTATGGGCTCCCCATTTTGAATTTCTAAATTACCACTCAGGTCTTTATTTACTCATTAAGACATCCTTGACAAACTTGATATGATAGGTTGCTGCTTTTTTTTTTTTAATTCCCTTCTAATAGTCTGTAAAATACACTAGATTTATTTTACAAATAATAATAATACTTCCAATAATAAAACTTATTACAAATGAGTAAGTTTCAGTTATTATTTTAGCAACTTCCTTTCTGGGTGTTGAGTTTCATAACAGGATCCTGAGAGATATAATTCCCTCTAACATTTTATAGAAAAAACATTTTTTCTGTAGTGATGAATGGATAAAATAAAGCTTTTTGTAGGTCTTTTTGGGATAGATTAAGCCAGTGGTAACCTTTGTTGCCTGTGTTTCTCAGTGAAGTAGTTCAAATTGGAGCAAAGGGAACATTTGATTTATTGTGGGTTCATCTTTAAGAAAAAAGCTCATGCTCATTTTCCAGACTATCATTTAATATCATTTTTTTATTTTTTATTTTTAGCCTTGTTGCCCTTGGGCCTGACCAGATCTTATTAAGAGGTACACAGCTTAGAAATACTCAGTGGGTCTTTGGCGTAGTTGTTTATACTGGACATGACACCAAACTCATGCAGGTAAAACATTACTGATTTCAGTCTTTTTTTTTTTCTTTCTGCTTTTATTAACTAGAAGGTAGAAAATGCAGATGTTACATTAGGAAGTTCAAGCTTGTCTATGAACCTAAATTTGGAAACAAACTGCCTTTATTTTCATTCCTTAGGTAGTTTCTTCTAGATTTCTATTCTCTTATCTGGTATTTGTTGCCTTTTGCCTGAAATACAAATGATCTTTGATTTCTAGATGTGGGGGAACATTCAGTTCTAACTTATTTTCTCTTCTGGACTAAAGGGGGATTAGTTCTAACTTTTAAATTTCTCATTCTACTTTTCCTCTTTACCCCATTAATTAGGAGTTTATAGAAAATTATCTTATTTAACTGAATGTTGGACACTTTAAAATCAGTTATTTTTGAACTATTTTTCATATACCAAAGAAAAAAATGAAGTTAAAATGATGATTTTGCTCTTTTTCCCTGTTAATGTTTTTTAAAAAAATTGCTTGTGAATTTATAGGTCACATTGATATTTTGCCAGACAGCTTTGGAAATTCCACATAAATCAGTGTTCCTGTATGTCATTTATTACATTTCTTTGGTATCACTTGGCATCTTGTTTTTGCTAATGGTGGCTATTAATGAGAATTGGCTTTTCAGCTTGTCTGCTCTTTTGTATAACTTCTAAAATGCACATTTGGCTGTATTTCTTGATTAAAAAATATTTAGTGTCCACCATGTATCAAAAGTAGTGCTAGACCGTATGGGTGCAATAGTGAGAGGCCCAGTCTTACCCTTGGGGAGCCAGTTGAGCTAAGGACTAATATAGAATGACAAAGCAGAGAGATACTGGAATGTGTGTCGTGACCAAGGGCTGTCAGTGTGTACAGGAGGGCCATCCAACCTAGGTTTGGGGGTACCTGGCTGCTAAGAATGATCCCCCTGGCAGAAGCACATTTTAGATATTGAGCTAGGGAAGGGAGACTGTTGTGTCGACCTCCTCTTTGAGGTCAAATGATAGCCAGATGAAAGAGGTAACTATCAGAGGAGATGAAGCTGGTGGCTACCCCAGCTAGAGAACACATTGAAGACAGGGACAGATGAGATTAGAAGGGTTGAGAGACTCTCTGAAGTTGGAGAGGATTGCTGGAGTTGCTGAGTAACAGGCTGATCAGTGTGTAGAATCTTGTTCTTGTACTTCTGGGGTAGACAGTTTCTAGCATGAGAGAGCTGGGAGTGATCCATGGGAGTAGGAAGCCAAAGGCAGAGCTGTTGAAGGTTATTTGATGTTGACAAGTAAGGAACTGAGAGACTAAGGCATTTAATGGGGTCAGCGCTGTGATTTTGAAGATGAGATAATAGCGAGGCTGGACCACAGAGGAATGCCATGAGCCAGTTGTCAAGTCTTCAGTGAGTGACAGGGAGCAACTGAGAGGTTGGTGGCCTGGCTATGGGGCAGAAGGTAGTGCATTTTATGAGTGAGTTTTTTTTTAACATGTCATCCAAGGAATAAAGATCCAGAAGTATCATCAGGTCTTGAATATACATCTGGTAATGTTACCTTCAGAGGCCAAAGGATGCAGATGTCTACTTGCTCACCCTCTGCTTCGGTATGCTCAAGGGAGGTATGTCCTTGACTGTGTGAGGCAAGGAGGAGGAGAGCTCTTGAGGGAGTCGTGGTACAGAGAGAAGTTCAGGAGCCGGAACGGTAGGGCCCCAGTGCAACGGGGCGGTTGCAGAGGTTGTGTACTGAAGCAAGGCGGGAGGGCTCCATGGCAGCTAGAAAAATGAAGAGTTGGTGAATGCTGAGAGGCAGCTCTTGGGTAGATCAGGATTTTTAGTGTATCTGAGATGCGCCTGATCTATTGCCACTGCTAGGTCCTTGTCCATTCACAAGGGCTGACTGGAATGCTTTAACTTTATTGTTTCTGAGCAGCCTGCATATGAAGACTTTATCCTGATGAATGGTTTAGTGCTCTAGCCATGCAAGAACTCAGGAGGTTGAGATTGGTGGACCAGTTGCGACTGGGAGTTTGAGACCAGCCTGGAAGACATAGTGAGGCCCCATTAAAAAATAGTTTAGCACCCTGCCACCTAGAAAGTGTCCTTTAGCTCCCATAGTGCAGCGTCAGTAACCTCTGCTAAACACTTTTGGTGCTCCACTAACCACAGATCACTACTTCTGTTTTTGTTTTTGTTTTTTTGAGACAGGATCTGGTTTTCTTGCCCAGGCTGGGGTGTGGTGACGTGATCTCGGCTCACTGCAACCTTAGCCTCCCAGGCTTAAACCATCCTCCCACATCAGTCTCCTGAGTAGCTGAGACTACAGGCATGTGCCACTATGCCTGGCTAATTTTTGTATTTTTTGTAGAGACAGGGTTTCACCATGTTTTCCAGGCTGGTCTTAAACTTCTGAACTCAAGTGATCCACCCACCTTGGCTTCACAAAGCGCTGGGATTACAGGCTTGAGCCACCGTGCCCAGCCTACTTCTGTTTTCTTTTTTTTTTTTTTTTTTTTTTTTTTTTTTTATGATGAAGTGGCAAAGAGATCATGGGTAGCTAGCTCACATTTGGTCAAGGTTCCAATACTAGTTTTAAGACTGTGCATATTATAAATTTAAGAAATTTCCAAACTTTCTTATACATTGGAGTTTTTTTTTTTTTTTTTCAGGGTGTCATTGTTTTTCTAGAGCATACACTGGTAATACAGCTTTTGCTGTAGAAAAACAATATTACAAGTATGCTCTAGAAAAACAATATTATATGAGTTAAACACACTGTTTTTTAAAATGCTCCAGTATCTCTTCAGTGAGTAAGGCATGCACTGATTTTCCATTCTGTGAGCGTGAGAGGCACTTGTCCTTGACCCTGGGTGTGATAAGCCTCTTTGCAAGGCTTCTTGCATGTTGATTGCTCTTGTATAGAATGATAGAAAACCCCAGAAACATCTGTGCTAGACCTGCTGTGCCATTAGGGCTGAAACAATAGGTAAAAATAATGAGTTTTCAAAAGAAATATAACACACATAGCTGGAAGCCATCCTGTTAGTGAAATAACAATGTTTGTCTGTGCTTGTGCTGCTTGACCACACAGAGGAAACTCAATTGCTGTAGGGTTCTTCTACCCTTTTACCCTTTTTTTTTTTTTTTTTTTTAGGTCTCCTACCTCAATGCCTTTCGTCCTTCAAGGTTCCTCTAGTTCATGCTTAGTTTACTTACATGCAGAAATATTTCAGTCTACTATTTCTATTGGTTGATTTAATGGGAAAAGGAGATTATCACACTAATTACAGCACACATAATTACAACAAATCATGCACTATTCTGAGCAATGTACATATATCAACTTGTTTATTCCTCACAATGGCTAGGTAGTATCATGTTCATTTTACAGATGAGGAGACTTGAGGCACAGAGTGTCCTAGTAATCCAAGCTTACAAAACTAGTAAAATTCAAAACACAAGCAGTCTGGCTGGGTGTGGTGGCTTACCTCTGTAATCCCAGCACTTTGGGAGGCCGAGCCAGGTGGATCACCTGAGGTTAAGAATTTGAGACCATCCTGGCCACCATGGTGAAACCCCATCTCTACTAAAAATACAAAAATTATCTGGGTGTGGTGGCACGTGCCTATAATCCCAGCTGCTCAGGAGGCTGAGGCAGAAGAATCACCTGAACCCAAGAGGTGGAGATTGCAGTGAGCCAAGTTTGTGCTGCTGTACTCCAGCCTGGCAACAGAGCCAGACTCTGTCCCCTCCTACCCCCCCAAAAGGAATAAAAGCAGGCAGTGAAACTCCAGAGTCACTGTAACTCAGGGGTCCCCAAGCCCCAAACCACAGTCTGTGGCCTGTTAGGAACCAGGCCCCACAGCAGGAGGAGAGTGGCAGGCGAGCTAGTGAAGCTTCATCTGTATTTATAGCAGCTCTCTATCCTTTTCATTACTGCCTGTGCTCTGCCTCCTGTCAATCATCATTATAAGTTCTTCTGTAAAATTCTTAAAGTACCTGGCTACTTCAGTGTAATGGAATTTATGGAATTATTGTAATTCCATTACACTGAAGTAGCCAGGTACTTTAAGAATTTTACAGAAGAACTTATAATGCCTATAGGAATTTAACATTAAAAACTCATCATTGGGCCAGGTGTGGTGGCTCACACCTGTAATCCTAGCACTTTGGGAGGCTGAGGTGGGCAGACTGCCTGACCTCAGGGGTTCATGACCACCCTGGGCACCATGGTGAGACCCCTGTCTCTACTAGAAATACAAAAATTAGCTGGGCGTGGTGGTATGCACATGTGGTTCCAACTACGCAGGAGGCTGAGGCAGGAGAATCACTTGAACCCGGAAGGCAGAGGTTGCAGTAAGCTGAGGTCACACCACTGCACTCCAGCCTGGTGACAGAGTGAGATTCCATCTCAAAATTAAAAAAAAAAAAAAAAAAAAAAAAAAAAAGAAGCTCACCATTGATTACTGCAAGTACAAATATTCACAAAGTGGGAGTGAATAGGCTGAGGTTGGCTTTCCACAAAGAGCATGTGTTGAAGCCTGAAGTTTTGGGATCATTCCTCTTCTGTTGGGTGAAAGATACATTTTTCTAATCCTCCTAATTGGCTGGAATTCAACCACTGAAAAAGATCAGAAGTCAATAATAAACGGGGTCATAGAAATGAAGTTTGAAGTTTATGATAATTTTTTTCCTGCCTGTACATTTAGTAAATGTTTATTAAGAATGTTAAGATCATGCTTACTTTTTAAGAGTTAGGATGCACAGTCCTGGACCTGGCCTGCTGGCTCTTACCATGAGGCCAGATGTGGATGTGTCGTCCCAGTCAACCTTGGTATAGTATTTTGATTGATGATAAGTTGGTGTTTACTAATGGATTTCCGTTTAGACTCCTGAGGAATTTTTTTTAAGTCTTTAAAGGATGAATAATTTAGAGAAATAAAGTAAAAGGGAAAAAAGTAGAAATAAAGGAAAAAGCTGCTGTGTTGTTTAGATATTTAAAGAACTTAGCTTTTCAGAATCACCAGTGCAATCCCCCAACTCCTCTACCCCAAAAGAATAGTACTTTTGGTTTAGCAATAGAATTTGTATAACAACTTCAGTGATGTGGTATAAATTTTTCTTGGAGCTTAGGAGTGAATTGCCTCATGTTTTCATCTCAATTTCATTTTCACATTGTGACTTTATTTGTATTCTTATCTTTGGAGACATTTTCATCACTAGATCACTTGAGACTAGTGAAGGAGAAGGCTGACTTCAGTTTGGCATGAGGTACCATTTTTTATGGTTAGTGCCTTACAAACTTTCAGATCACCCGAATTTGTCCAATCGGCGCTGTCTCTTAAAAGCCCGGGCCCGTTTCGTAGAAGGAGACCTGCAGGCTGGCGCTCCCGTGAGAACCTCTCCCTGTCCAGTTCCTGGCTTCTGATTTAATTCAGGAATTATTTCACCTCTGGAATGGATTATAATTAATTCCCCTGTGGCTTTCCTCTCTTCAGTGTCTCCTTCCTCCATCAGCTGTATTACTGTACTGGTTTCCTCTGGCTGCTGTGACAGATTTCCATAATTTTAGTGACTTAAAAAAACTTGAGTTATTATGCTGAAGTTCTATAGGTCAGAAGTCTAATATGAGTCTCCTTGCACTAAAACTCAAGATGGTGGCTGCTGTTTTCTGCAGGCCTCCAAGGGGAATCTCTTTGAAAATTTCTCTGTCACCACCTCTCCCTCTGAGCACAATTGGGAAAGGTTCTCCCTTTTGATGACCCTGTGGTTATACTGGGTCCATTGGGTAATCCGGGATAATCTTTCCCCATCTCACAGTCGCTAATTTAATTTAATCCCATCTGCAAAGCTCCTTTTGCTGTATAAAATAACATACTCGGGCCGGGTGCCATGGCTCACGCCTATAATCCCAGCACTTTGGGAGGCCAAGGTGGGTGGATCACCTGAGGTCAGGAGTTCAAGACCAGCCTGGCCAACATGGTGAAACCCCATTTCTACTAAAAATACAAAAAATTAGCCGGGCATGATGTTGGGCACCTGTAATCTCAGCTACTTGGGAGGTGTGGCACAAGAATCATTTGCACTTAGGAGGCGGAGGTTGTGGTGAGCCAAGATCACATCACTGTACTCTAGCCTGGGCAACTGAGTGAGATTGTCTCAAAAAATAAAATAAAATAACAGGCTCACAGTGCCCTAAGGAGTAGGATGTGGGCATCACTGGTGGGAGGGGGTCATTAGCTTTCCCACCACACTACCTTCAGATATTTTTAAATAAAATGACTCTTCCTACTCCTACTTCTTATTCACAGTTCTCCAAGTGAACTTTTTGTCCATCCACTTATTTTGACACTCATTAATATTCTGTTTTGCATTATTGGTATGTATGTGTTTCTATATGTCTTTTTATTCCTCAAATTCTGGACTCCAGGAGGAAAAATATGTGCTTTAGATATATCTCCTTGTATTTACTGTAGAGCTGTGCAATTACTGTGACGGTCTTCTCTAGATTTTTATGATATGGAACTTCTAAATTCCTCTTGAATTACCATTGTTCTGATTTCTTTGAAACTGGACTCTATTTAGAACCTGTTGTGTTCTAAGATAAGCAAAGTGACAATTTTATGCTAAGATATAATGATAAGAAGTACAGAATGAATCATGTATTGTTGGAATGTGTTCATTAAACTGGTAGAGTATGTTGTCTTCATTACTTAAAACTAGCTGTTGATTCAGAAGCATAGTATACTTTTGAATTGCATTGATTATTTGGCCAAAAAATAGTCTTTTGCTTGTCGGTTGTTAAATACGGTTGTTTTACCTCCTTTCCCCCAACCCCTTTCCCCAAATGTGTTCTCTGACCCTTACTGACTTTCAATGCCATTGTGTAGAATTCAACGAAGGCGCCTCTCAAGAGATCAAATGTCGAGAAGGTGACTAACGTGCAGATCCTGGTGTTGTTTGGCATCCTCTTGGTCATGGCCTTGGTGAGCTCAGCAGGGGCCCTGTACTGGAACAGATCTCATGGCGAAAAGAACTGGTACATCAAGAAGATGGGTAAGTGTTAGGGTGAGTTGCTCATTCGAGTGGAACAAAATCATCCTTGGGACATTCTTGCAGGCATGGTTGTTGTATGGTGTCCCTGCTGTCCTTCTGTTCCCTTTGCTTACTGTACATAATGCCAGTCTTTCAAGGAGAAATGAGATTAGGATCATGTGATGAAGTGAAGATGGGCACATTTGGGAATTGATTCAAACTCAAATGGTTATTTTTAAACCCTGTGTTAAAGTATTTTCTTAGGGGCTGCCCTAGGAGTTACAGTGTATACTCTTAATTTATCTGAATCTACTTTTGATTGATACTAACTTAATTCTAGTCAAATACAGAACTGTCACTCCAGTGTACCTCCATGTCCTCTCCTGCTTGATGCTGTCATTGTTATATTCCATTTATCTGTGTTGTCAATTCCAAAATACAGCGTTATATTTATTGCTTTATATAATCTTATGTCCCTTAAAGAAGCTAAAGGAAGAAAGAAAAATATATATTGACAGGATTTTTAGTTGTTGTTGTTGTTTTGAGACAGAGCCTCACTCTGCTGCCCAGGCTGGAGTACAGTGGTGTGATCTCGGCTCACTACAACCTCTGCCTCCTGGGTTCAAGCGATTCTCCTGCTTCAGCCTCCTGAGTAGCTGGGACTAGAGGCATGTGCCACCACAGCTGCCTAATTTTTGTATTTTTAATGGAGATGAGGTTTCGCCATGTTAGCCAGGCTGGTCTCGAACTCCTGACCTCACGCAATCTGTGCACTTTGGCCACCCAGAGTACTGGGATTACAGGCATTAGCCACTGTGCCCAGCCAAGGTTATTGTATATTAACATATTTACTTACCATTTCCAGGACACTTCATTTCTTCCTCTGGATTTGAGTTACAGCTGGTATCATTTCTTTGCTTCATGTATCTTCATTCTCTCCTCACTCCTTTGCACTGTCATGTGTATTACATCTGTATATAAGTTCAACAATGCAATTTTATGATGCTTTTTGCAATTGCTTTTTAAAAATTGAGAATATATAATTATATTATCTTTTATAAATACCTATAGAATTATCATTACTAGTGTCCTTTATTTGTTTATGTGGATTTTAATTACTGTCTGGTATCTCGTCTTTCATCCTGGAGAACTTCTTTAGTATTTTTTGCTTTTGTAATTTGTCAGGTATATATTTGTTTATACCTTAGAGATATTTGTAACTACTGGAACTTAGATATCCTATTTAGAAACTCCTTAATTCTACAGGAGAACAGGAGAGCAAAGTAATATGTCAGGAAGAAAAGCAACCAGCAGGAACAACGGAAGGCTTGGTAGTGAGTAGGAAGTGAAAGGATTATGGAAAGGTAAACTACTGGCCAGCTCCTTATCTTTCCGTCACAGCCATCCCCCAGAACTCTAATCTGGAATCAACTACAACCATTTGATGTAATTTTCTGGGAAAAAAAAGCCAATAACTATGCTTTGGAGCCATTACAATTCTCAACCTCCTTCCAATCGTAGCCTTTTGCTACCTTTATTCTCATTCTAGTTCCCTTTGCAGGCTGCTTTAATACCAGTTAAACCCTGTTGCAACATCCTCTTTAAGCCTCTTGCTAATAAGTTAAGAAGATCTCACTATTTTACCCTTCAAGCAGAAGATCATGGCTGTCAAGGAAAGAAATTCCCCTTGATACCCCAGAGCTTGTGCCCCTCTCTTTCTCCCCCATTGTCTGTTCCTCCTGGAGCTGACGCTGCCTCTGCTGTGGTGGACTCCATCCTTCAGGCCCCTGTGCCATCTTTAGGAGTCTTGTTCCCTCCAGACATCTCTTCTCTTCTCTTTAATTAGATTCAAGCCGTCTCTCTCTTTGTCTGCTTCTCTTGTTCACAATTTTGTCCATCTTTGTAGCTGTTTGGGGTATCCCCAATATACCTGTACCTTAGTGAGGTTTTAGGTATTCCTTACAACCATTTCAAATGCCCGTCTTCTTTTCTACATTCTTTCAAGTTTGCTTCTTTTCTCTGTTCTTCAAAACTTGACACCAGCATTTCTTCTTCTGGATAGCCTTCAGTGACCATGTCTTTCCACTAGAAAGCCTCCTGTAAGCTTCTCTTTAATAGATGCATCCTCCTGGCTGGTTACATTGCAGGGCCTGTGTGCCTTCTACAGAAACCAGCCGTTGAACTCGCAGTTCCTGACATACAGGAGGTGCTCAATAACTATTTTAACTTGAATCTCTAAATAAGCCAATAGACTTCGGTTGTGAACACCTTTCAGATACTCTGGTTTCTTTCCACAGACACAACTTCAGACAATTTTGGATACAACCTGCTGACGTTTATCATCTTATACAACAATCTTATTCCCATCAGTCTGTTGGTGACTCTTGAGGTTGTGAAGTACACTCAAGCCCTTTTCATAAACTGGGTGAGTATTAAAGCAGAGTTGAATCGCTATTTTCCAATGCTATTTCAGATCCTTTGACATTTAATCGAGCACTCAGAAAAGAAGAACTATATTCGTTTACCATTAGGTCCAGGAGCTTAAACTGGCCATACAAAGAACTGTCCAGGGATGACCAGTGAGGGTGTTCCTGGGGAATGGGGAGGGCAGTGGTACCTATGAAAACATTGTTGTGAAGATTGATCAGATAATGGGGTGGAATCCTGAGCTGGTGTTTGTCATCCAGCTGCACCTGCTGTTGAACCTTCTAATGTCTAATTAGTGCTGAAGAAAAGGCCTCCTCGGTGTGTTTACTATAGTGGTCACTTGCATATCAAAATTCATTGTGACAGTCAACTTGGATTTGATTGTAAGGATGGAGATAGGATTTGTAAAAGACTGCCATAGTGCTTAAGCCGTGGACTTCAGCAGCCAGTATTTGTAGAACAGACACTTTGATGTGCATTTTTATTTGATCTTCACAACAATCCTGTGAACAAGGTCAGACTCATGAGTTAGTCTAGGTTGTGAAATGATTATCTTGAAACCAAATCTTTTATAAATATTTCTTTTTTGAGACAAAGTCATGCCCTGTCACCTAGTCTGGAGTGCAGTGGTGCGATCTCAGCTCACTGCAACCTCCACCTCCTAGGTTCAAAAGATTCTTGTGTGTCAGCCACTCAAGTAGCTGGGATTACAGATGTGCGCCACCATGCTTGGCTAATTTTTGTATTTTTAGTAAAGACAGGGTTTCAGCATCTTGGCCAGGCTGGTCTCAAACTCTTGACCTCAAGTGATCAGCCCACCTCAGCCTCCCGTAGTGCTGGGATTATAGGCATGAGCCACTATGCCTGCCAATCTTCTGTATATTAATTCCATGCTTCCCCTTAAATCACAGGGTTTCTCTATCCTAGTCGCCACTGTATTTCACCCCAACATTTAAAATGAGCATTTATATGAAAATAAAAGGGTTTTAAATTACCCATTCTTAGCTTCTTTTCTGTGTTAATCTGAATGAAGGAGTAATGATATCTATTTTCTGAAATGCTGTCTCTTGTTCTCTCTCTCAGGACACAGATATGTATTATATAGGAAATGACACTCCCGCCATGGCCAGGACATCAAACCTTAATGAAGAGCTTGGGCAGGTGAAAGCCTCTTTGAGAACTTTGGAAATGGTGACATGAGCATGAGGGAACATGAGCGTTAGCAGAAGAACCATGGAGAGATTTTGCAAAAATACTTCTCCGTGAACATGGCTAGAACGTCTGAAGAGCTGTATAATACTTTTGAATGTACCATTAAATACAAGTGTTTCTCAGTTTTTACTTGCTTTTCAAGACACAGCTATATCGTATCACCCAGAAGTAATGTGTGAAAAAGAAAGAAAGATGTAATATAAAAAATACAGTGCAACATCATTTGGGACCCTTAAAAAAGTATTATCAGGAGCAAATGACAGGGAAAACAATGGCTAAGATACTCACATATTGAGTAACCCTACAAAACATGTGGGGCCCAATGTAGAGGACATATATCCCTCACACGTTCTGGATTTTTTTCTCTGGAATATTCTAGGGAATGGTATCTTTTCTGCCTTGACCCCTGAACTCCTATTGCCTTTACTAAGTTGTGCTGTGCATTGTGTCTGCGTCTGACAAAAATTCCTGTAAGGAATAACCTCTTTTAAAATGTTTTATGTAATTTAATTAATTTATTTTTTCAACTTTTATTTTAGATTCAGAGGGTACATGTGCAGGTTTGTTATGGGTATATTGCGTGATGCTGAGGTTTGGGATATCAGTGATCCCATCACTCAGGTGCCTGAGCATCGTACCCAATAGTGTTTCAACCCTTTTCCCCAACACTGTCTAGTAGTCCCCAGTGTCTGTTGTTCTCATATTTATGTCCTTGAATATGCAATGTTTAACTTCCAGTTAATAAGTGAGAACATGTGGTATTTGGCTTTCTGTTCTTGCATTAATTCACTTGAGATAATGGCCTCCAGCTCCATCCATGTTACTGCAGAGAACATGATTTCATTATTTTTTTCTGGCTGTGTAGTATTCCATGGTGTATATGTACCACATTTTCTTTATCCAGTCCACTGTTGATGGGCACCTAGGTTGATTCCATGTCTTTGTTATTGTGAATATTGCTGTGATAAACATGCTGCGTATGTCATTTTGGTAGGGTGATTTGTTTTCCTTTTGATACATACCCAGTAATGGGATTGCTAAGTCAAATGGTAGTTCTGTATTAAGTTCTTTGAGAAATCTTCCACCGCTTTCCACAGTGGCTGAACTAATTTACACTCCCACTAATAATGGATATGTTCCCTTTTCCATGTGGCATTGCCAGCATCTGTTGTTTTATTGACTTTTTAATGATAGCCATTCTGACTGGTGTGAGATATTATTTCATTGTGGTTTTGATTTGTACTTCTCTGATGATTAGCGATGTGGAATTATTTTTTCATTTTTTTTTTTGGCCGCTTGTATGTTTCTTTGGAGAATGTCTCTTCATGTCTTTTGCTCATTTTTTAAAATAGAGTTGTTTGGTTTTTGCTTGTTCAGTTGTTTAAGTTGTTTATATATTCTGGATATTAGACCTTTGTCAGATGTGTAGTTTGCAAATATTTTCTCCTATTCTGTCGGTTGTCTGTTTACTCTGTTGGTAGTTTCTTTTGTTGTGAAGAAGCTGTTTAGTTTAATTAGGCCCCACTTGTTGATTTTTGAGGACTAACCTTTTTTGATGCATTACCATTAAAGATTTTTATTTGATTTTATACACCCTATTTAAACCCACCAGGAACCCTAAGGGGAGGGGGTTGTACCTTCATTTTATAGAGAAGGAAAGGAGTAACTTATTGAAGGATGCCTGGTTATTCAGTGTCAGACTGGGGACTTTGGGTTGTCTGTCGAGATTTGGCTTCCCAAGCTTTCCTGCCCGGTGTACGAACGATGCCATATTTCATCTCCCTGGCTCCTCAGCATCCCTCTGTGAAAATGCAGGTAACATGGCTCATTCATCTGAGGGTTAGAGAAACTCCCTTATGTTTTCTTCATTTTTCTTTCCTCAGGGATAAAGTGAATTCTGTGATGGTTTGTGTATCATTTTTGAGTTTATTGCCAGAAAACTGAGGCTCAAGTTTGTAGACTAAAATAGAACTTTGTAGACAAAAAAAGCAGGTGATTCTGTTTCTTTGATATAATTTTCCAAACCTACTTAGAGTTAATTTTTGCCTTTATCCTTCCTTAAATTGTTTATATTCATATAAGTGCTCTTAAATTCTTAGTATAACAGGATGGATTGTTATTACAGAGAATGTCCTTGGCACAGAGCACAAACCCTCCCACCGCCTTTGGGGCTCTGGTCACATAGGGCTGGGTACAGCACCTAGAGCAGGCCTTGGACCTTGGGCTTTCAGTCCTCATTTGTTGTTGTTTTTGTTTATGTTCTCTCATTCTAGAATGGCCTTGTCAGTTCCCTTATCTGTCTGGTAAAATCCTCCTGTAAGAATCAGTGAGTTCTTGGCGCATACCAGCTGAATTTGCCTCCTCTTTGAACTCTTCTGTAGTTTTCCCGGCTTGTCTTCTATGTTTCATAACAGTCTTTCCAAACATAAGTATAGTAAAATAGGGGATATGAGTGATGTAGTATCCATTTCTCTGTGGAGGCTGTGAGGGAGTGGATGTGCCCTATATAAGGTCTTTGGTTGCCTCTGTTAGTTTAGCACAGTGTGCGTTATATATTTGTTCACAGGTGTCACTGAACTGGACCTGAATAATTAAGGGATTGAAAGTGTTCAAGGGGTACCCATGGATGCTTCAATAACTCATCCTAACTGAGGATATGGGGAAAGTTTGCATCGGGAAGAGGTTTTAAGTTGGAACTTTAAGGATAAGTTAGAATTAGCTAATCTTAAGCCATTATTATAAAATGTTCATTTTTAATTTTTTTTAAGGCAAAGCAATGGGGAAGGATTCCATATTTAATAAATGGTGTTGGGGAAACTGGCTAGCCATATGCAGAAAGCTGAAACTGGATCCCTTCCTTATACAAAAATTAACTCAAGATGGATTAAAGACTTACATGTAAAACCTAAAACCATAAAAACTCTAGAAGAAAACCTAGGTAAAACCATTCAGGACATAGGCATGGGCAAAGACTTCATGACTAAAACACCAAGAGCAATGGCAACAAAAGCCAAAGCAGACAAATGGGATCTAATTAAACCAAAGAGCTTCTGCACAGCAAAAGAAACTATCATCAGAGTGAACAGGCAACCTACGGAATGGGAGAAAATTTTTGCAATCTATCCATCTGACAAAGGGCTAATATCCAGAATCTGCAAAGAACTTAAACAAATTTACAAGAAGAAAGTAAACAGCCACATCAAAAAGTGGGCAAAGGATATGAACAGACACTTCTCAAAAGAAGACATTTATGCAGCCAAGAAACATATGAAAAAAATGCTCATCTTCACTGGTCATTAGAGAAATGCAAATCGAAACCACAAAGAGATACCATCTCATGCCAGTTAGAATGGCAATCATTAAAAAGTCAGGAAACAACATATGCTGGAGAGGATTTGGAGAAATAGGAATGCTTTTACACCGTTGCTGGGAGTATAAATTAGTTCAACCATTGTGGAAGACAGTGTGGTGATTCCTCAGTTATCTAGAACTAGAAATACCATTTGACCCAGCAATCCCATTACTGGGTATATGCCCAAAAGATTATAAATCATTCTATTATAAAGACACATGCACACATGTCTATTGCAGCACTGTTCACAATAGCAAAGATTTGGAATCAACCCTAATGCCCATCAATGTTAGACTGGGTAAAGAAAACGTGACACATATGCACCATGGAATATTATGCAGCCGTAAAAAAGAATGAGTTCATGTTTTTTGCAAGGACATGAGTGAAGCTGGAGACCATCATGCTCAACAAACTAACACAAGAACAGAAAATTAAACACTGCATGTTCTCACTTATAAGTGGGAGTTGAACAATGAGAACACAGACACAGGGAGGGGAACATCACACACCAGGGCCTGTGAGGGGTTGTGGGTCTGGGGGAGGGATAGCATTGGGAGAAATACCTAATGTAAATGACGGGTTGATGGGTGCAGCAAACCACTGTGGCACATGTATACCTATGTAACAAACCTGCACGTTCTGCATGTGTACCCAGAACTTAAAGTATATTAAAAAAACTATATATATGTATATCTATAAAAAACTATATGTGTGTGTGTGTGTGTATATATATATATATGTATGTGTATATATACACACATACGTATATATAGTTTTTTATAGATATACATTGTATATCTATAAACTATAAACAATAGTTTATAGATATGCAGTAAGTCTTAGAGGTATGGAAAATTTAGTAGAATCTGCCTTTTAGTAAGCAGGGATTCTTTCTGCCTTTGTGTATATCTATAGATATACAGTACATATATGTGTGTGTGTATATGTATACACACACACACACACACACACAAAGGCAGAAAGAATCCCTGCTTACTAAAAGGCAGATTCTACTAAATTTTCCATACTTCTAAGACTTACTGCATGTAAAAACTTGTTTAAAGTATTAATTACCACTAGGGTACTAATATTATATTTAGATGTAGTATTATATTTAGAAGTATTTGACTTCTTTAGGAGCTTTAATAACTTGAACTCCCTTTGATCGTTTTCAAAAAACCTCTCAGTGCATTTGATTATATTGCATCATTAAGAAAAATTACTGAGTAAGCAATTCCTGTAATCAGTACCTCTTCTATACAACAGTAAAACCCTGCTTCCCTAGACCAGTTATCTGGGATTTCTGGAAGATATCTAGCACTCAGCAAGTTCTGTCTCCTCTTTGGAAGACCACTGAGAAACTGGAGTTTCCTCTGGAGGCTATTCTGTTAATTACTCTCCCTCACTAATTCATGACATCATTTCTCAAATGATACGTGTAGAGTGATGGTGCATAACATTCAGTAGCACATCATTCCGTCAGAGCTCTGACTGCAGCTTCCTCTGCATATTCTGGTATACTCTGACTATATCATTAGTTGTGGAAGAAGGTTTGTAAGTGGTCTAAATATTAAAGTATTAATATATTTTTGTTACTAATTAGCTTGCTTTATGGAAATCTACCTGTTTCATACAGGTTTTGAAAAGTATAGACGGAAAGATTTCATTTATTGATTTTTGCATCTTAATGCTTCTTGATGTATTTTTTTCTATTCTTTGATTTAGGTGAAATATCTCTTTTCTGACAAGACTGGAACGCTCACATGCAATATCATGAACTTTAAGAAGTGCAGCATTGCCGGAGTGACCTATGGGTCAGTGTGTTTATCGCTTACCGAAAATTTGCTTGTATTCTTTCAAGAAAATAAGTTTACTTTTTAGCAAATTAGTCAAATATCTTGCCTTTCTGATCTTTTGAAAGGATCTTTATCCTTTCCAAATTAAAAAACCTGAATCCTTTACAGTGGATTTAGATATGTAGTAACTATGGAATGTGTTTATAACTGAATGGATCCCAAATTAAACTCTGAAGAGTTAAAACGTGGTTTATTTCTGCAAATATTAACTTGGTAAGAAGTCCCAGAGAACCTGTAAGTTTGTATATCTAATCAAAGAATTATCCATTTACTCATGTTTTGATCAGAATGTCTGTCTTTTGATCACTCTGTTTCCCCTTTCTCTGACAGTCACTTTCCAGAATTGACAAGAGAGCCATCCTCAGATGACTTCTGGTAAGTAGATTCTAGCACTTCTTGACACTGTAGTGGAAAAGCCTTTGGAATAATTTTTATTTATTTATTTACACTTATTACATTTCTATGGCCCAGGCTGGACTGCAGAGGTACAGTCATAGCTCACTGTAGTCTCAAACTCCTGGATTCAAGTGATTCTTTTGCCCCAGCCTCCTGAGTAATTAAAACTACAGGCATGCACTACCATGCCTGACTAATTTTGTAATTTCTTTTTTGTGTGTGGAGATGCAGTCTCACTGTGTTGCCCAGGCTGGTCTCAAACTCCTGGCCTCAAGCTATATTGAACCTTTTGGGTTGATCCTCCAATTTTATTATTTTTTGCTCTCATTTTCCATAATTTTTTTGTTTTATTTTCTGCTATTTTTTTCATCTTGATCTTCTATCCTTCGTCATGAGTTTTTCGTATGATCTCACTTTCAGTTTTCGAAAGTATTCCCCTAACCTTGCTTTTGCATTCTGAGTTTTCTCTGCTCTTCTCCCATCCTCCCTACCGCCCACCCATGGTGTTTTCATTTATTTTCCATAGGCTTTCTTCAAAGGCCTGGTGATCGTTAGCTATGTGCTCATATATTTTTATTATTTTCTTTTGTATACAATATATGTAACATAATATTTATCATTTGACTCTTTTAAATGTACAATTCAGTGGCACTGAGTATCTTCATGTTTTGCAGCCATCAGCATCGTTCATTTCGAGAACTTTTTCATCTGAAACCCTATCTATTAAACAAAAATTCTTCATCGCCGCCTGCCTCCGGACCCTAGTACCACCATTGTATTTTCTGTCTCTATGATTTTGCCTGTTCTAAAGTACCTCATGCAAGTGAAATTGTACACTGTTTGTGTTTTTGTGTTTGGTGTATTTCCCTTAGCATGTCTTCAGGGTTCATCCATGTTGTAGAATGTGTCAGAATCTCCTCTCTTTGGAAGGCTGAGTAATATTGGATTGCATGTATATGCCTTGTTTGTTTATGCTGTCATCTGTTCATGGGCATTTGTGTTGCTTCCACCTTTCGGCTACTGTGAATAGCGCTGCTGTGAACACAGACATACAAGTATCTGTTTCAGTCCCTGCTTTCCATTCTTGGGGCTGTATGTCTAAATATGGAATTACTGGGTCATATGGTAATTCTATGTTAGACTTTTTGAGGAAAAACCGTGCTATTTTCCATAACAGCACCACCATTTGACATTCCTGCCAGTGATGCACAAAGATTTCACTTTCTCCACCTCCTGGCCAACACTTGTGATTTTTCAGGTTTTGTTTGTTTCGTAGTGGCCATCCTAATGGGTATGAAGTGGTACCTTATTGTAGTTTTGATTTCTGTGTCTCTTATAAGTAGTGATGCTATCTGTCTGCACGTGTTTTAAAGCTTATATACAAGAAACCTGATTGCTAGGGCTGTGTGTGGAGTGGAGACACTGTGGTTGATGACTCCGGGAGAATGATCTGCTAGGACTCACTAACGTATTAAGGGATCCCTGGATGTCAGTGTCTGTGGGTCTTCTTGTCAGCTGGTCAGCTTTCTTTTCATAAAAAGAATTTTCTAGTTTCCTGCCAAGGGCTATAAATTTGGTGGCAACTGTTTTGGAAGCTGCATGGAGACAGTCGGCCAGTGATTGTACCTTTCAGCCTATATAGAATTTCACTTAAAACACTGCTTTGGGAGGATGCCCAAGCCTACTCACATGTGCGCCTGTGTGCCCAGTGTCCCTGGGCTCAGGACTACTCTGGTTTAATTTCTGTAAAAGATAAGCATTTTTTTTCCTTTGGCTGTGGAAGATGCAGTTGTCTGGCTGCATGGGATGCGGGAGGGTTTTTGAAGACGGAGTGTTCCTCAAGTGGGCGTGGAGCCTGTGCTGTCTTCCTCCTTCCTTTACCTCACGGGTGCTTGTGCTGTCATTTGCTCCACATCCCCAGTGCCCTGTCGAGGGCATCAGTTTGCATTTCAGGTGCTCCCCTTTGCGAGCTGTTGATTGCTGTTTTCTGTGCAGCACTGCACTCTGATACCTATTTAGAGTTAAGACTGGCATACCCTCTGCTGTCGTGTCTTCTTTCATTGTCTTTGCCTTGACAATGTTGAAGTTTCAGGAGGGAGCCGGGCATGGTAGCTCAGGCTTGTAATAATGCTAGCACTTTGGGAGGCAGAGGTGGGTGGATGACCTGAGGTCAGGAGTTCAAGACCAGCCTGACTAACGTGGTGAAACTGCTCTGGAAAATCTTACATGACAAGAAACCCAAGTAACACTCAGGGGATTGGAGGAACATACTTTATCATGCTGGCAGGCCCAGAAGGGTTCGCACCCAAAAGTCTGGACCCCAGCTAAGAAAAGTACACAGTTTTTACAGGTAAAGGGGCAAGGGAAGTAACTCAGGACTTTAGACAATGCAGCAGGTTTTAGACAATGCGGCAGTTTCTCTTAAGGTTTTCCAGTTAGTAAACAATAAGCTGATGTACAGAAGCAGAAAGAGGCAGTTACTAACAAAAATAGGGACATTCTCCAAATAGGGATGGTTACAGACAACTTGTGACAAAATTCTGGGCAACATTTCCACTTCAAAACCCCATCTCTAATAAAAATACAAAATTAGCCGGGTGTGGTGGCACGTACCTGTAATCCCGGCTACTTGGGAGGCTGAAGCAGAATTCTTGAACCTGGGAGGCATTACAGTGAGCTGAGATGGCGCCATTGCATTCCAGCTTGGGCAACAAGAGCTAAACTTTGTCTCAAAAAAAAAAAGAAAAAAAAAAGTTTCAGGAGGGAGTGGAGATAAATGACCCATCACATTTGCTTCAGTGTGATAGCTCACAGCCATCATATCGTTTCCTTTCTTGTAATTGTTTGTCGTCTTCCCTTTCCTACGTATGAGCTCTGGCCATAAATGATTGTATGTGTGCAGTGCAATACTTCCTTTTGTTTTATTTGCTTTGAGCAGACACTCTTGGGAGTTTTCTCTGGTAGAAGTGATTCAGGGACCAATTGAAATGGCAGTTATAATATCAATTCCTGGTTTCTGTTTTTCCTCCTTGTAACTATTGTTCCTTGTAACTGTTGTTCTTAATAATAACTCATAAAATATTTTATTTATAGTAAACTCCAGGATTATTGTTTTGAGGTTTGAAATAATAGTACAGAATTCCAAGTCTTTAAAAGTTTAATGTGAATCTCTATAGGACTTTAAGTACGGTTCTTCCGGAGGGCAGATTCTTTCTAGGTTTGGGTTAACTTAACAGGAACTTTTGAATTGAATAGATCTTCTCTGTTCTCTCTTACAGCCGGATGCCTCCTCCCTGTAGCGATTCCTGTGACTTTGATGACCCGAGGCTGTTGAAGAACATTGAGGATCGCCATGTAAGTGCTCTGTTTTACTTTGAAGACAGCAAATCGATACGGTGCACCTTCCTTTGATATATATGTGTAGCATTTTGTGAGTTGCAGTTTTAAAGCCTGGGGAAAGTCTTGATTTGATGGTGTGAGTCCTTCTGAGAAGTGATCTTAGACAAATGCTTTGTGGCGAACGCTGTGCATGAATTAGTGTATTTAAATACACGGTGACTTTTTTTTAAAGTAGCACACCAAGGTTAAGGCAAATCTTGCCGCAAAATTCTGTAACAGTTCAAATTTCCGTTGCTTTGTAAGATTTCTGCAGTGCTGTTATGTCACAGTTGTGAATCTAAGAGGTCAAGTGTAATTGCATATCCTTTGACTTAGGATACTTTAGGAAACACAAGTAAGATATATATAATAACAGGTAGCATTTATTGCATTCTACTGTGTGCCAGGCAATTAACATCTATTTCCTTCAGCATTTTAGTCAGCATTTGAGTCACATCTGGGAGGCGACAAGGAAGTTAAATAAAAGATTAAATTGACCGTTAGTTACCCAGCACATAAATAGGAAATGAGCCTTAAACCTCAGTGTGTTAAATTTTTAACTGTGACATCACACCACTTCAAATCAGCATTAACTGCAGAATCGCATCAATTCACCGTTACTTATTTATTTTTCCATAAGTTATTGGGGTACAGGTAGTATTTGGTTACATGAGTATGTTCTTTAGTGGTGCTCTGTGAGATTTCGGTGCACCCATCAACTGAGCAGTGTACACAGCACCGTGTTTATAGCCTTTTATCCCTTGCCTGTCTCCCACTCTTCCTGCCAAGTCCCCAGAGTCCACTGTATGATTCTTACGTCTTTGTGTCCTCACAGCTTAGCTCCCACATATCAGTGAGATCATACAATGTTTGGCTTTTCATTCCTGAGTTACCTCACTTAGAGTAATAGCCTCCAATCTCATCCAGGTCACTGCAAATACTATTAATTCATTCTTTTTTGGTGGTCGTTTGGGTTGGTTTCACAATTTGCAGTTGTGAATTATACTGCTATGAACATGTGTGTGCAAGTATTTTTTCCTGTGGGTGGATCCCAGTAGTGGGATTGCTGGATCAAATGGTAGCTCTACTTTTAGTTCTTTAAGGAACCTCCATACTGTTTTCCATAGTGGCTGTTCTAGTTTATATTCCCACCAGCAGTGTAGAAGCGTTTCCTGATCACCACATCCGTGTCTACATCTACTGTTTTTTTGATTTTTTGATTACGGCCATTCTTGCAGGAGTAAGGTGGTATGCCATCGTCGTTTTGATTTGCATTTTCCTGATCATTAGTGATGTTGAGCATTTTTTCATATGTTTGTTGGCCATTTGTATATCTTCTTTTAAGAATTGTCAATTCATGTTCCTAGCCCACTTTTTGATGGGATTGTTTTTTTCTTACTGATTTGTTTGAGTTCGTTGTAGTTTCTGGATATTCGTCCTTTGTCAGATGTATATATTGTGAAGATCTTTCTCCCACTCTGGGGGTTATCTGTTTACTCTGCTAACTGTTCCTTTTGCCATGCAAAAGCTCTTTCGTTTAATTAGGTCCCAGCTGTTTGTCTTTGTTTTTATTGCATTTGCTTTTGGGTTCTTGGTCATGAAATCCTTGCCTAAGACAACGTCTAGAAGAGTAGTTCACTGTTATTTTAAAGGGTACTCTGAAAAATGCCAACTTAGAAAACTATTCAGTGATCAAAGCATTTCACAACTAGTTGTTAGTATAAGTTAGATATGGTGTGATTAATTTTGTTTCTGAAAAATATTTCTAGATTTAAAATTAGGTAAACATGAGAAAAATTAAAACTTTATCTTTCCAAATTTCCGAAATTTTAAAGAGACAGATATATTTAAAACTTTTTCTAAGTTTTCATGAGGAAATCCTGCTTTTCTCTTTTGCAATTAGTGCCTATTTGCTGCTAGCCGTTCTGAGATGTGGGTGTCTAAGGTTCCCACATCCATGGGCTGTGATACTGCTATTCCGACTCAGTTCTTGGTGAGGCTGGTGAAGTGGTCCAAGCCCACAGAGGATGCTGCTGGAGTCTATGTTCTGTTTCAGTCACAGACAGCTCAGAAGTCCTTTCTTGTATTCTGATCTTAGAGGTAGATCCAGCTTCTAGGCTAAAGGTTCTCCAAGCAGAAGAGTGGTGCCACTAAAGAATCATCTCTGCAGGAAGGTGGTTTTGATCAAAGATGTCAAATAAACAAGTGTACTTTGAGTACTCAAGAGGAAACAAGTGTTTTCAAATAGTATTCAGGTCGAGGGTAACCACAAAGGTGGGCAGCTGAATATATCTGTTCAAGTTGGGATGGTGACTGGAAAAGGAGAAAGTGGCAGGGTGACATAGGAGCTCCGGAGACTGCTCTGGGTTGAGTTTCATGAGTTTGCCTTCCTAGATCAATAAGGAGAAGTAGCAGAGGAAATAAGATGAGCACAGTGTATGGAACATCACGGAATTCCAGTATTGGGCTAGGAATAGCAGCAAACTATTGGATCCCCGTTTACATCAGAGACTCATTTATTTATCCACTCATTTTGAAAACAGTTTATAGCAAACCTAATTTATATAAAATACCTTGCTGTCGGTACTAGGGGAAGAGATGAATAAAAATTACCCAAGTGATACCTGTTCACTGGGGAAGCAGTTATGTGAAGTTCTTAGGAGCCATAGTACGCTTTTGCAGGATAGGTAAGGTGCAACTCCCCGAGGAAGTGATTTTGGTTTGTGTAGACAGAGAGGAATTCCATTCTCTTTGGTGACTGTCATGGCTACCATAACATGTGAGCAGTGTGGCCACCCACACAGAATGGTATTTGCACTGACATAAAGATGGGATGGCATAGAATCTCAGTGGCCTGGGGCAAATTCTTACTTGGAGAAGAGCTCCTCTGGGGACCCCCTACGTGCTGCTGGGATCAGAGTGTTTGAAAGATTTCAATACTTGGCTCAGTTAATTTCCGACTCTCACAGGTGTTCTCTCCAGAGCTGGCCCTGGACTGGTGTTTTGAGTCCCTGTGAAGTTTTGGGGTTTTGACTGTCCATCCCACACTCTTCTTGAGCCTGTCTCTATTGATGTTTGAATGAAGATCTGAGCAGAGCTAATTCCTCTCCCATTGCCTACCCTCCTGAACTAAATTGCCTTTTAGTTTAATGAGAAGCATTGAGAGTAGGGACAGCTGCATCCTCTGTGAAAAGGAAGTGCTGTCATGGGGACGTTATGATGATGATCCAAACACGGGGACTTTGGAATTTTAATCTGGATACTCACAGTTTCAGTACAAGCATAATAAGGAATTGATTGATTGATATGGAAATTTATTTCCTAATTTTTAGTAAAAGCCTCCTAGCCTCTGTATACCATTTTAAAGTTTTCTTTGATCCTTGAGGCCTTCTGAGGTAGTCTTCACCTTGGCTCCTGTGTTAATTAAACTCTTTGACATTTAACATCTAGCTTCAGTATAATAATGAAGACCATAGAATAGGCTCCAATATTTTTCTTTGAGGATATGTGGGATTGAATTACATGTACCCATTCAATGTATTTAAGCAGTTTAAACACAGGGCCTATTAGATTACTTGTTCATTTTGCCAAAATGTTTGGGGAGAGGAAAGAAGTATTTGAGGATTTGCGGCTGCACATGCCCCACATTCTCATCTAAATTGTCTTGGGACTATTGACTAAAATTAAAGCATTTGCCTCAAGAAAACCTTTACTTTCCTCCTGAGGGAATACTTCCACTTGCTACAGAATTTTCTTTTTTCCTATGTCATCATTTTGGGTCCTTTAGGACTATGTTAAGCTTTGTGTGGGCTGATAGCCAAGATGGAATTTGGCTCTTAGAGAATCAACCAGTGAGAAATTTTGGAGGACAATTCATGCATTCCCCTGCTTACATTGCTAACCAGTGTGTGGGACACATTTCCAAAGGTTCACCAAGGAAGAAGATATAACTTTCTTTTGAATCATTATGCCTAAGATTTTTGAGCTTGAATCTTAAAGAAGAAATCATTTATATATATATATATATATATGATTTGGATAATTTGTGGCTGTAATTTGGCTTGCAAAACAATTTTAGACATGTATCATTTTCTGCTATTTTAAATTCACCAAATAAATAGAAAATATTCATTTCTACATATATGGCAAAAATATTGTATGATTCTGTTTATATGAGGTACATACAATAGACAAATTCATAGACACAGAAAACAGAATAGAGATCACTGGGAGTAGAGAGAAGAGAGAATGGTGTTATTGTTTAATGGGTACAGAGTTAATGCTGGGGAAGAGGAAGTTTTGCATATAGATAGTGGTGATGGCTGTGCAGCATTGTTGAATGTATTTAAAATGCCACTGAATTTTGTACTTACAAATGGTTAAATGATAAATATTACAAGTATAGTTTACCACAATAAAAACTTTTCTCTACTAAAACTACAAAAAATTAGCTGGGCATGGTGGCGCGTGCCTGTAATCCCAGCTACTCAGGAGGCTGAGGCAGGAGAATTGCCTGAACCCAGGAGGCGGAGGTTGCGGTGAGCCGAGATCGCGCCATTGCACTCCAGTCTGGGTAAGAAGAGCGAAACTCCGTCTCAAAAAAAAAAAAAAAACTTTTAACTTCTAAGAAGATACACACACACACACACACACACACACAGGAATACAAGCATCCATAGGCTTCTGATTAATTTTGTCTCTTCTCCAATTATAGAATGCAAAAGGAAGAAAACCAATGATAGGTTAATTTTATTTTAGGATTAAAAAAATCTTTATGAATTTTGTCTGGCTTACCATTCCAGGTAGAAAGCTCAATTTGTGTGTGCAATTCTTTCTAACTCTTAGAAAATATTTCACTATTAGGTTTATTTATTTGTAAAATCTTAGACCCTTTTTATGTTGTTTCATTATGGGACAAGGTTATGTTCAGGATTGGATAGTTCTCAGGTACAGGAGAAGGCAATCTTGAATTGAAGCTAAATTCTTACGTAAAGTGCTTTTGGGGAAAATTTCTTACCATTTTTGCAATGTAGGCCTTGGGGAATGTGTAAACTCCTTAAGCTCACAACTTCACTGAACTATAGTTTAATGTGCATTCTTTTCATGATAAGAAGTAGCCATGTGAATAGTTGTGATTTGCTTCCATAAAATTTCTCTAAAGTCACATTCACAAGACAGAAGAAACTAAAAATATTCTTATGGAATCATCATCCATTTATGACTAAAAAAACAAGAACTCCATAAAAAGAGGAAGCACATTGCTGCTTCCTTCACATGAAGATATAAATCTATCTCAATTTTATAGCCAGTTGCCTATTTAAAAGGGATACATTAGAGACATTGACATTAAAATAATAAAATAAGGAAGCTTGGTTATCACTCCTGCATTGAACATAATTCTGGAAGTGTTAGCTCATGCAGACAGGTGAAAACTGAAAGTTTATATATTGGGAGGAAAAGGGAAAACTTCTCATTTGTGGATGATATAATTGTCTGCCTTGAAAACCTAGGATAGTCAACTGGAATTTAGAGACAAGTAGAAGCTCAATAACAATTTGGATATTAACTTACAAAAATCAATGTTTTAACAAGAAACTACTGTAAAATGTAATGGAAGTAAGATTCCATTCATAATATAAAAGGCAATAGATAAAATGCCCCACAAACTACTTCATGTACAGTGGACACTGGAATAGTTTTTCGAGCAAATAAAATAATTAATAGACATATTCCAGGTTGTATATTTAGAATATTTAGAAGCTTTTAATACATAGGAAGACACATTGTTTTCTTAGATGGAAGACAACATTATTTTCCCACTAGTTATATATGTGCTCTAATCCCAATTAAAATTATACTTTTTTTTTCCCAAAGAGAATAAAAGAATTTTATTAAATACATATCCAGGGCAATTCTGGTTTTTGTTGCTGTTTAATAGTAATGGATGAGAGATGGCCTGCTTTATGGATGTTGAGAGATTACAAACTTAAGGAGTAGGCACTGTATGGAACAGATGTGGGAGAGGATGGGAGCATCTTTTGTTTGTGAGGCCTGGGGTACAGCAGTGAGGGGAGTGGAACACATGCTTCTAGGGGATCTTACAGGAGTGAGGCAGCAGCACATGGGTGAAGCAGAATCACAGGGGAGGTGGGAGCACGTGGGGAGGCGGGAGCACGTGGGGAGGCAGAAGCATGTGGGCGAGGCTGAGGCTCAGGGGACGGCAGGGTGTGAGGAGGTACAGGCTCTTTCCTCTTTGCTCTCCCCATCTCTTGAGCTAACGTGCAGGAGCTGCATTCCAAGAGAAGCCCAGGGAGGAGAGCATGGGAGAATCAGCTTGGGGACCCCAGACCAGGGTGCCAGGAGGGGGATCTGAAGTCCATATTAACTACCTCTATTCTATCCAGCAGGGGGCAGTAGGATGACTGAATGTTAGGTGGGGATCTGTTTGTGTGAGCCCTGGTGCCTGTTGAAGGTGGTGTCACTGACAGTAATCCCGCCTCACGTTTGCAGCCCACAGCCCCTTGCATTCAGGAGTTCCTCACCCTTCTGGCCGTGTGCCACACAGTTGTTCCTGAGAAGGATGGAGATAACATCATCTACCAGGCCTCCTCCCCAGGTGAGGGCTCTGGCCAGATGCGCCCTGCTGGCCCCTTTTCAGGAGACCTGGGTGTTGCAGTTATTCTTGGAGATGCTGCGGTGTAGCCTGACCCACAGATCCGGCTGTCTGCTGCCGGCCTCACACTGTGGCCAGGCTCTGGCTATAGGTGTTAAAGCTGTAGAGAGCCCAGGATGGGCACTCCTGACTCTCATCACCCTTTAACAGCAAAGGGAGGACCCTAGTCAGGTTGCATTTCCCAGCAGAGGTGATTGGGCTTGACAAAACTCAGATGAAAGAACGGAGTTTGTTTCTTCCTCATCTCCCACATCGCTTAGATTTTCCAGCTGCTGGGGAAGCCGCGTGGGGGTACTCTTTACTCACTTCCTGGGGCTTGGGAATCCCACAGTACAATTAAAACACTGCCTTGCTCAGAGGAGATATTTGGTGGGAGTCGTGGGACTATTACTTAGGTTAATTGGAGAGAACTTGATCCCAAGCGAGAATAGCAGGGATATAAATCATTCTTGCCCTGGTGAATTAGCATGGATCTAAGCCCCCTCTAACAGAAGTGCTCATTTCAGAACCCTGGTGGTAGGAAGAGCTTCTCCACCCTGAGTCCTTACTACTGTGCAGATAACACCAGGCCTCCAGTAGAGTGGGTTTTGTTAATTTGAGAAGTGACACTAAACAGAATTCCGTCATTACCAGTGACATGTCAGTGTTTCACCTACTCCTAATTCACAGATGAAGCTGCTTTGGTGAAAGGAGCTAAAAAGCTGGGGTTTGTCTTCACCGCCAGAACACCATTCTCAGTCATCATAGAAGCGGTGAGTAACGCACGTGTTCACATGTCAGATCACCTACCTTTGTGAAGCTTATGCATGTGAAATGGCATGCCTGTTGTAAATATAATAGCTAAATGTCTCTTTTGGTGAAAAATTAGACCTGTGAAAAACTGGAGTTAACATGATTATATTAGCTTGTTGGAGGTGTTTTGCATTGCAGTACTTTTTCTCCCTTAAAGATGCTTTTCCATGTATCTTTCATACCCTGATGTGAAATCCTTTGTAGCAAAGAACTTCACAAATCTACTCTTTGTTCTATAATAATTGGGAAAATAACTTACCGCTTGTCTTTAGGGCAGGTTCTGCATCTCTTCGTAGCCTCAGAGCCTGAGTTCTTAATCAGTGGGGCTTCACAGTCCACTGGGCTTCAGTCTCTTCAGCTGGGAGAGGAGTCAGAGCTTAAGATTTTTGTTGGTGTTGTTTATATGGAGTCTCACTCTGTTGCCCAGGCTGGAGTGCAATGGTGCAATCTCGGCTCACTGCAACCTCTGCCTCCCAAGTTCAGGCTGTTCCCCTGCCTCAGCCTCTCAGGTAGCTGGGATTACAGGTGCCCACCACCAAACTTGACTAATTTTGCTATTTTTGATAGAAACTAGGTTTTACCATGTTGGCCAGGCTGGTCTTGAACTCCTGACCCCAAGTGTTCCACCCACCTTGGCCTCCCAAAGTGCTGGGATTATAGGCCTGATCCGCCGTGCCTGGCTTTGATCTCTTTTATCTATATGAGGGATCCCCCACTGCAACTGAAGTCAAGGGGTTTATACATTTTCTGATTTTCTTCTGACTTTCCTTACCTACAGGCCAAAGGGAGAAATTTAGTGATAGGAAAATAACTGTATCAAGAAGAAGATCAAATATGGACCCTTCAAATGGGCAACAGGGGAAAATGACGGTTAGGACTGGTGAGGCAGTGGTGTTTTTCATGATGACCAGTTAGAAGGGCTGTTTTATTATTGTCTGGATTGATGATGAGGGTCTGAGGCTAGTCCCTGCCATACCTTGCCTTTCCCTATTCCTCTATTTGGGAAAGACTCAGGGATTATAGTTTTTGGGTTTGTGGATGCATCCTCAAATCCGTAGACCTTTAATGCATTTTAAATTCGCTTCCAAATGGTGTAATAACTGCCTTGGTAGTACTGTAGTAAGTTTCTTCTTTTGGTTATATGTAAAACCTATAAAATATCATATCTTGTACAAAGTGCCCATTTATTGGCATCTTCAGTTTCTTGCGGAGTGCAGACATGAGATCATGTTTACTTTTACCGGGCTTATTTTAGTCAACAGAGGGAATTTAGCTTAGGGAAATGTACCATCATTAAAAGTGGAATGAAGTGCTGATTGACTATGGAATTCCCTTACAGAAGTGTTTTAAAAATGAGGCCTTTCCCCTCTTTCAGTTTGAGGAGACTTTTAATCTTAACTGTAGGATTTTCAGTTGCGTGGGTGCTGCTGCATGTCTCTGTATTGCAAAAATGGAGGTTGGGGGTGGGGGACTTACATCATAGGTGGGAGAAAGAGGAGAACAGGAGCTTCTATTTCACTCACAACGCCAGATAAATAAGGAATCTAGAGAGCTTATTGGTGTTGTCTTCCTGGTATTACATGCTGGATTGACACCTCTTTGTTACCTCATTAAAGTTTTAAGGTCATATTTCTGGGGGTCACAAAAGACTACCTGATTAGTTAGGACTTGTACATAACAATAATGAAAAGAATCCTATTCAACCATTCATCAAACCACCAATTCTCAAATTAAGAAAGAAAAAACCTACTGCATTATTATTACCAAGTCAGGAAAAAAATTCTCAAATTCCCACGTATTTACATGAAGTGTCCTCACCAATAGTCATAGCAGCCACATCCGTGGGCTGTATGTGGTGTGGTTGATACAATGGTGGTGCAGAAGGGAGGTGGCTCCTGGGAGTGGCAGCCCTGGTGCTGGGCGGTGTTAGTAGCACTGGGTGCCTTTTGAACAGGGATATGATAGAAAGTCGGTACAGGCTGAGGAGAAAGGAAACACGGGACTCATGGATCCAGAGAGGCGAACAAAGATTGATGAAGACTGGCGGAAGTGGATCATTAGCTGTTTTATAGGACGCAAAGAGAAGGAGTGGGGAGTTGTGGGTGTGAAGATGATGGTTCTGTCGTTTATTTGGTAATTTGAATGTATTACTTCATTGATTACTTCTCTCAGCCCTGAGAGATGAGTGCTTTTGCTATGCATAAGAAAGTCACAGACTTAAAGACAGAAACTGGATTCAAACTCACATGTATTCAATGCCAAAGGCCACGTTCTTTCCACTGTGAAGTGTTGGGGAAATGGAAAGATTAGATTGAAAATTTCAAAATATCATACACACCATCTGGAATTTTTAGATGGGAAAAAACTGTGACTTATGACATTCTAATGTAAAAGAATGCAAAGAAAAAGAGCATTTGATTGATTGCTCTGAGACCAGGTACAGATTCACCATCTCTTACCTGCAAATTCAAACTCAAATGCCTTTGAATTCCAAAAGATTTTTCCCAAGTTTGGTGAATAGCTATTTGGCAGCAAAAACTAATCAGAACCAATGTGAGACCGTTTATGATCTTTATGAATCCCACTTCTTGTGATACGCATACATTTTGCTGTAGAAAGTGGATGTGTTGTGTAATAGTGTGTTACCCTGCTGGGGACATTATGGTAGATAGTCTAGAATATGCGTATATATTTATAAAATTTGTAAAATCCTGAATTCAGAAGCATAACTGGGCCCAAGGTTTTTGACAAACCTGTACAACTGGTGTCCTTTATCTCCATCTCTTGGAAGTGGCTACACCAGTCAACTGTTAGGACAGCCATTAGCACCAAAGAAACGTGAGAAACTTCTACCAGAAGAGGGAGCTCTTACTCCACCAGACTTGTGAGAAAACAGCACATGTTGCAAGGTGTTGGAAGGTGGGAAGAGAGAGCTGGCATAGGTCTGTTTATGCTTGGGAGACAATTCCTCTGAGATTTTAATGCTTTGCACCTCAGGTAAGAGCCTATTTTTCTTCCTTTAGATGGGACAGGAACAAACATTCGGAATCCTAAATGTCCTGGAATTTTCTAGGTATGTTTCTCTTCGTACATTTGAAATAAAATACTTATATTTATTTACCAACTTCATCAGAGTGTTTACATGACTGTATGCTATGATTCAATATAGTTCTTAAGCATTAAATATAATAAATGTATCTCCATAAACTCTCTTCTCCTTGGAATTTGTGACTGTCATTAAAGAAAGTGAAGTAGATTATTTTTCTTTGTTTTATTCAAGAGAAATGCTCTAGTTCTACTTCCTTCTTTTTCTTTACATTTCCAGAGCCTGATGTTCTTGCATCAGCAGCTGCAGACATGTCTGAATAGCTTGGAGCATGTGATGAGGGCATTATTTTCATTGGCATTTCCCAAGTCCCATGAGGTCATTCCTCTTGCTCCATTGGAGCACTCCTCTGGAGATCTGGGAAACTGACAAATGATGACAGATGAGATCAGTCCATTCCATTAGAGGCTGGGTCCACGTAGGGCAGTTTTCCTGGACTTCCCCAGTATAATTTTAAAAAGTAAGACCTAGGAATATTTGTTGGACATCTTGTACACATAGGGCATTCATAATTTGTTATAAGGAAACATATCTCAAATTTTGTTTCTTTGCCCCTTTTTAACGTGGAATTGTCAGTGCTAAAGCAAAGTTCTGTTGCTATCTCAAAAGCATCTTTACCTGTTATTAAAATTAGGTGGATTTTTAAATAACCTTTGTTAAATGATTCACAAATTGTTTGCTCTGTCTGCTTTGTAAGCTATTTTTAATAAAGATTAGTTTTTTAAAAATCTTTGTGTAGGAAATACTTTCCAGCCCTAGTATTTAGTTTTAGGATCACAGGCTTAGACTTGGAACAACGGGGAGGGGAGGAGGGGATGGCTGATGACGGAGGTGGCTCATGTAGGAAGTGGTCACAGTGTCCCTGCAGTGGAGGTGAGTGATGTGCTAGGCATCTCTCCAGACCGTTTTGTGCCCCATCTTTTGTTGGAAACTGCAGTGCCCTGTGACTGCATTAACTGGGACCAGAGTTATTAGACAGACAAGGAAGAGGAGTAAAGGGAGTTAGATAAAAACAAGTGAATATGGTTAGAGACATAAGGATTATTAAAATGTATATATATATGTATATATATATATGGGAGAATAAGAAAGAACAGAAAGATTATTTGTGGTTATAGTGATGATTCTGTCTCTTTTTCATGGATTCATCTTTTTCCCCAATGCCACTTAATCTTGATAATGCTCCCTTGAAGCAGTTGCTTTACACATTGAAAAACTGAAACATGGGTTTCAAGAACTGTGAGGCGTGCCCACAGTTGAGATAGTTGAGAGAAAATGCAAATCCAGGTCAGCTAGAGCGCTCTGGGTTAGGATGTGGGAATTTATCCAGAGCTGAAGAGAGACTCTCCCCAACTCTTAGGGACTTACAGTCCATTGGAAATCGCTGCACTGAAAGGCCACAGACATGGGTGATCTAGGGCCTTCTGTAGTTAGAGTGTGCTTCAGGGGGATAAAAAAATGTAGGCAAAGGAGGATCAGAATGTGCAAAAGAGGAGAATGGTGAGTCCCATGTATGCTGGAAGCCTGATGGTGATGCATGGGAGGTTTGGTGGGAGATGAGGTGAGGCCACGCCGGTAGATGGAGAACAGGAAGAAGAATTCATAGGCAGTGGAGACTCACTGAGGGCTCGGTGGGTGAGGAGGAAAGACGTGTGAGGAAGTTGTGGTAGGGGGAGAGAGAATTCCTTGGTGCTGAATTGGGAGTGTTCTGTGGATTTGTGATTTCTTTCTACTCCGGTTAAAAGATGACACAGGGAGGAGCTTTCGAGTTAAGTGAGTCTATACCGAGTCTCCCACTTTGCTACCTGCTGGGCAGGTTTACTTGATAGCTTAGACTGTAGAGTCAGCAGTCAATCAGATGTGCACTGTCGGTGCTGGAATTCTCCTGTTCTGTTTTTCCTCCTGTAAATAGCGGTGCTAGTTCTTTTTCATGGCAGGGAAAGAAACAGGGTAATGTTCAGATGATGTAAATAAAAAGAGTAGGAGATACAGTCAGGTCCTACTTTGGGGAAAAGGGTAGGGAAAGATAGAGCTTGGCCATTTTTAGGAGCCCCAGATCACCTTTTGTTTTGATTGGTGTTCAGCCGTAGGACATGCATCCTGAAAACAGGCCAGTGCTAACTTTTTTTTTCTCACTCTCTCAGTGACAGAAAAAGAATGTCTGTCATTGTTCGAACTCCTTCAGGACAACTTCGACTCTACTGCAAAGGCGCTGTAAGTATCGGAGAAGCGCTGTGCATATAGCAGAGTTCTTGGCAGCCTTTCTCATCTGCGACTTTTCCTAGCTGCTTTCCTCATCATTCCCTTATTATTTGCCCAGAAGATGAAAGGCTCTTTCAGGTAGGCTGCGAAGTTGACTTAATAGTAAAAGCCCACTGACGATAATGGTGGTTCAGGGCAGTGTGACAAAGATGGCTGGTATAAAGCTTACTTTTAGCCAATAGATGGTTTCAGAAATAGTGACTCCAAGTGTCATGCAAAATCCTTGTAATATGAATTCTTATTCGAGTTTTACCAGCATTGTGTGTTGACTTTGAGAAGATAAAGTAATTTGTGTTGACCTATGATCATCTGAAGTACTCTGATATATAGTGGTTCTCCAGCACCTCTTCTTCTCAACTGTGTGGGTTTTTTCCTGCATCACAGAGAGCTGTGTTGTAGGTACAAATGCAGTGTCCATGTGTAGCTGCATTATCATTGCCCCTTTTAGTCAGTTTCCTAGGTCAGGCTTTTTGTCCTGTCTACTTCTGGTAACCAAATCTAAATGGTTTATCACAAAGGAAAAGTGTTATTGCTTATGAATCTTACTTATAAAACTATATCCTGTTAAATTGTAGTCTTATGTATTGAGGAAAAGAATTATTAAGCTTATTTTATTTGACTCTGTCAAGAATACAGAGCTCTCCTAGGATGAGTTATTGGTTGACAGTATTTCTATCTTTACTAGTTGTATCAAGAAGGATGGTTTTGAGTACATGATGACTAGAGCTTTAAAAATGAAGGAATGCATGGGAATTCTAAAGGCATTATAATTGGACTTACTAAAGAATTCCATGTTTATAGTAAAATGACTTGAATTAAGCTCATCTAGGTTTTGTTCTCATGTGGTGTATTTTTAAAACTTTTTGTTTATTCATTTACCATTGTATTCCAAGTAACACATCCAGCACAAAACTGTCAGTGTGAGGTGGTAGAGAGAGGGGAGCTGTCTGTATAGAAGAGGTGCATATGAAAAGGCTGCAAAGGTGTATTTTGTTTTTATAGGATTTAATTCTCTCCAAAAGCCAAACTCAGATTAAGAAAATTTTTGTAGTAGCCTAAAACTATGCAATTTGTAACATATTTGACGGATTATCTGTGGAATCTGGTCCCCCAACCATGCTTGTCAGTCATGGAAACAGTCATAGGCAGATGAGCTGTGCACCTGTGTGTTTCTTGGCAGAACTGGGTTTAGTGCCCAGTGGGCTGTGCCCTCTGTGCTAAGGTGCTCCTCCCATGTTGGGAAGCAAGATTGTACCTGAATAACTTAAGATGTGCATTTTACTCTTTCCCCTTTTGCACAAAGGCTTGATAAACTTTGGTGGAGTTTTGCAAATTTTGGTGACTATAGGCACCCATGTGTCCCAGTGATTCTTCTGTACTTCTGGTTCTCCAGGATATTTTTGTTTGGCTTTTAAGACATAGATTTTGGTTTTCTTGGACACATTCATACCCAATTTGTTTTCCAAAGCTCATGCCTGAGCCCAGCCAAATGCTAAGTTCCTGCTTCCCCACTCAGGTATTCTCATGAGTGTTGGATAAACAGAAACAAAGCCATGTTTAGCATGCTGGCTGGAAGGTTTACTGAAGGGTTTGCCAGTCATAACATTTCCCTTTTTTATAGGATAATGTAATTTTTGAGAGACTTTCAAAAGACTCAAAATACATGGAGGAAACATTATGCCATCTGGAATACTTTGCCACGGAAGGTAAGTGGAATTTGGAAATGCTGTTTTTGACCATTAGAGCTGTACTTTCAGGCATGTTGTCTTGCTTACTTTAAGGCATGTTGTCATACTTTCAGAATGTTGTCAAGCATTCTTCTACTGCCTGCTGTGTCCCCTCCTGTGCCCATGGCAGAGACGAGATGCGTAGCCAAATCCAAACTCAGTTACCTGTAGATGCCTCTGTCACTCATCAGCAGTGGTGCAGAGGGAGAGGCAGGCCAATGCATAACGTGTAGAATCACCTTTAGTTACTAGTCCTTGTCTCAGAAAACTCATGTGGTTATTTTCCTGGCCCTCTCTTGGTGTCCTTATGTCACTGGCTTATCCATGACTTAAGGAAATGATAATTCATGGAATCCATAGTGAGCAGGAAAGGAGTTCCCTGGAAGGCTGTAAACAACACTGATGTCACGTGTTCCTGCTAGCAAGTGCCATGATAGCTGGAGCTCAAGTGCTGACTGCTGCTTTCTGGCCTTGGTGTGTTCCCCTGGCTCTGCGTGCATGCATATGTGAGCACATGCACATGCATGTGCATGGGTGTGGCTGCCTGGAAACCTGGATCTTTCATGGGTTAGCACATGGGGCCATTTCTGGCTGTCTTGAAACACACTTCCCACCTTCTCTGCCTGCTGAAACCTGCGTACTACACACAGATCATGCCCAGCTCCTGAACCTCTCTGCCACGGAGAATTCACTCTTCTGACTTCTCATGCACACTCTCAAACTTACAGAAGAGGTAGTTTATATTAGAATACAGGAGAGTTGTTTTTAAATTTCCCTTGGTAGATGTGGGAGTGTTGAATTAGAGGGAACTAAAGCAGAGCGTCTCTTCAATTTTTTTAGCCTGCTGATGGAAAAGGGAGCACAGGCTGTCCCCTGGGAGGTCACATGTTCTGCCTGCCTCCATTCACCAGTGGCTGTCTTGCAGGCTTGCGGACTCTCTGTGTGGCTTATGCTGACCTCTCTGAGAATGAGTATGAGGAGTGGCTGAAAGTGTATCAGGAAGCCAGCACCATATTGAAGGACAGAGCTCAACGGTTGGAAGAGTGTTACGAGATCATTGAGAAGGTAACCACATGCAATACAGTCTTTACAGCTCCATGGAGGACTTAACCACCTATTTCACAAAGTCTTTGAACAGGAATCCTTTTACTATATAGGGATGGTCTCCTTTCTTGTGTCTTAATGAACCATTAGCTCTGAATCATTTTCTTTGCTTTAAGAAGCACTTAATTTTCATGGTTTTTCTGAAAGGTTAGCCACCCTTAGCTAAGCATTAATGATAGCTTAAGAAATATCAGGTCAAAAACAGCATTAGTGACTCTCTGGATTTGCTTACGATTAGGCTTAATGAGATTAGCTCACCCTGTTGAGTTACATGAGCAATCAGAATGCTGTGGAGGCTGGTTAGATGTTGTATGCGCTAAGCATTCTCACACTAACTTATTCTAATAGTACCTAAGCTTTGCCATTGCTACTCACATTGCCTACTTTGATTTTCTTGTTCTTTTCAGTTTATCCTAAGACATTAGCTCGCTTTCAGTTTATTGGTTCCTTCAAGTCTGGGAGCTGGGTTTCAGCTTTTTCTGTTTCATGTTGGCAGCCATAGAGTCATCCAATTTCCAGTTTCTATAACTTTTTTTTTTTAATATAGAGACCAGGTTTCTCTCTGTTACCCAGAACCCATGCTAGAATGTAGTGGTGCAGTCATAGCTCACTGCAGCCTCAAACTCCTGGGTTCAAGCTAACTTCCCACTTTAGCCTTCTGAGTAGCTGGGACTACAGGCTCATGCTACCATGTCTGGCTAAGTTTCATACTTTTTTTTAAATAGAGATGGGGTCTTGCTATGTTGCCCAGGCTGGTCTCAAACGCCTGAGCTCAAGCAGTCCCCATCCCTTGGCCTCCCAAATCCCAAAGGGCTGGAATTACAGGTGTGAGCCACCATGTCTGGCCTGGTCTCCATAACTTTGAAACCATCACCTATTTACTTTTTTCATTCCTTTGTTGGTTTCAAAAGATTCTCCTCTGCTTTTTTATACTCAGTTTTTTGTTTAAGTTTTATATTCAGTTATTTATATTGAGTCATTTTAATGTACTGAATTAAAATAAACTGAACAAAACTGAATTCAGGTGTTTCTTTGCCCTGTTTTACTGGAAATAGCCACAATTATTTTTAGAATTAGAAAAAGGTGATGCAATATGTGACATGGTGCCATGCCTATGGTGGATGCTCAAGAGATAGTTGGATCCTCCCACAGTCTGTGACCAAGCAGAGATGCTATGTCCTGGAGAGGCTTGGGATGTGGTGGGTACATGGAGCAGGCTCTTTGTGCATTCTCTGGAATCTGCCAGACCAGCAGGTACAGCATGGGCAACTGGAGGGAACCACACATCCACATCCATCCTTAGCATGAGCTGATCTGCCCCTGGGCCTTGAAGAGGACCCAAAGGGGCAACATTTTATAGCTACCCTCAATCTTAAGATACTTGGATTTTTTTTTCTCTCACTGTTAAATCCTTGCAACCACAGGTCTCTTACTCGTGTTCTGCCAGGTAAGCATATCATCTAGAATGAGTTCTCCCCCTTCGTTAACTGTGATATAATGTGCTACTCATTAGTGGACTGAGAGGGAGGGCTCAGGTACTGTCAGCGTCCTCAGGATAACCTGCCCATCTGCTCTGCTGCCAGGCAGTTTTTATTCTAACAAGCCTCTGTGTCAAGAAATCAGTGATGAGTACTGGGCTGCCTGTGTGTGTAGAGTGAGTCCACCATTGCAAGGCATTTGGAAACGCCACCCATCTAGATGCCATCTGCAGACACAGGAATAAAATAGAGGAAATAGAACAACTGTCTCAGAACAGTTTGATTGCCTTTCTTTGTCAGAATTTGTTAGTGCTATTCTTAAGTCTGTGCCGGTCTTTAACTGAAGATATGTTTTCAATCTAGAATTTACTGCTACTTGGAGCCACAGCCATAGAAGATCGCCTTCAAGCAGGAGTTCCGGAAACCATCGCAACTCTGTTGAAGGCAGAGATAAAAATATGGGTGTTGACGGGAGACAAACAGGAAACTGCAATTAATATAGGTAATGATTTTTGAAAGTAATTTCCTGATGCTGGCTTTTGTATTTGTTTTTCAAGTATCTTGGAAATGTGTCTAAATGTTTCTCAAATTCATTGACAGGTGATATTTTATAGGACTTTTCATTCACAAGTCTAAGAAAAACTGATCTAAATTAAATAAAGATGCCCTTATGCCTGTTATGAACATTAAAACTATCTTAGTTCCTGGAAAAGAATTAAACACACTTACATAGGGTGTAGAATTCAGGATTTGACAACTTTGATTTTCTTGTTGCTTTCTCTACAAAATTTTAGTCTGAGACTAAGAGAGCTTGTTTTCACTAGCTTTAAGTATGCATTATTATATTATAACCATTTTAACGGTTTTACTCATTAATGGGCTTTTCTAAGAGCCTTGCGTCTTTCTCTTCCCAGTGTGGTTGACAATCTTCTTGCTTACGGAGCATTATAGAGATGAAAACTGAAGAAAAGAATTTAAGTCGGGATAACTCTGTCGTTCTTAAAGGAGCATATTTTAAGTTTGAAAAGGAGCTGAAGCTACTCACATTTTAAAAATCTAATCTTGATTATTTGAAGTATTTAAACATTACCTGGAACTTTGATCACTATTGTGGTGTAACAAGGCCCGGTGCATATGTGGTGAAATGAACACATAAGGACTGCATAACTTACAATATCTTGCGAGAAATAGACTCTATTTCTAGATCTGTTTCTATGTCTGTGCTCTGTGTTTTGGAAAGAAACCTACTAGAGCCTCTGTATTTAAGTGACTGTAGTCCTTATCAGAATAATCTTCTTGGAATACTTTCACCAAAATCCAGTGATGCCCCTTTCCTGAAAACCTTATCTTTGAATCAGTTTTGTGTCTCTTATAACCTCAGTTGTGAATAATACCCGCCTTCTTGGGTAAAGCTGATAAAAAAAATAGATAAAAGCCATGGAATCATTTCTTGTCAGGGATATAGCTGATTAAATGAAAGTTGGGCTCCCAAACAAACTGAAGTGAGGCCCATAAGAGAGTGATGTGGGACTCTAAACAGTCCCTGAAGTATCAGCCATGGACTTTGTCCCTGGATTTGTGCTGGCTGTCACAGATGCATGGTTTTGGGGAAGAGTATTTGCTTTTGATATACTATATTTCTATATAAGCCTGTAGATTGGCCCCTTACGTATTATTTTTTCATGTACGTTTAGCCTAAAACACCTGCTATGGGTCTGTGGCCCCTGTTGTTTACAGAGGGCGTGCTAAGTTGATTGCTACTCTGAAATATTTACCTAAAATTTTGGTGGTATGCCTTCCACCCTCTTAGAGCAATGTGAAAAAAGAGTGGGCAACCCCTCAAGTTAAAATCAAGCCGTAAAGTGGTAACTTTTCTTAGTTTTCCAGATCTTGAGTGTTCCTGCCGGACTAATAACCTATGCATGTCGCTGGCCCTAGACTAAATTACCTTCAGTGTGTTCTTAGCTGTGCCCTGGCTTGAAAAGGGCCACAGGCCCCTCTCACCACCTCTCCTCCATACCGCCCAGCCCCTGGGAAGACACACGGCCCTTTTTTTGCATGTTCATTTTGTTATACTTGAGCGTATCTAGCCAAGTTTGGGATAAACACAAGAGAAGGCAAAGCGCTGAAAATCAACCCAGAAAACACAAATAGATTGTTACTTGAAAAGGAAAGCTTTACTTCTGTGTGATGAGGCTGCTGTGAGTCTTGTGAGATACTTGATACCTGTCCAAACAATTTAAAAAAAATAACAATCGTATTGTCTTGTATGTTTTTCTCAGAGGGTATAGTAACGTGTAGTACCAGCCAGAACCACTCACCTCATTTTCTGTCACTTGATCTTTCTTAACAAATACTCCCCAAGACCACTGGAAGATGATGCTTTATAAGCTGATGACTTTTTGTCAAAGTCTTGTATTTGTCCTGGAGGCTTTCTCTATTCACGGTTTATCTAGTGGATCAGCCAGATTCAAACATATATTGGGTGTTACTAGGTAAGCTTCGAACAGCTAGAGAATTGATTTCTTGGAGAGAGCTACGTCTGAATTGTTTATGTACTTCGCCTTTGGAACTCAAGTTTGTAGCCCTGGGTGATGCAGAGAATTTAAATGTCATTTTATGATTTAAGATATCTGTTGAGCCTACAAATGATGCAGAAGGCTCAGGAAAGCATGTATGTCCAGACATTTTATTAGACTTATCAGCGTCAGACCACAGGTGGCGGCTGTCAGCAGTATGAGGTCGTGCTCCAGATACAGGCTGTGTTTTTAAGCCTGTTTTCTAGTCATATAGCCCTCATACCCCTGGTAGTATTAATTATTATTGACCTGTCTCTCATAATACTTCACATTTTCATGCAGCTTGTGTGGGTTTTAAAGTATCCAGAAGATATTTGGGAAGATCAAATATCTAGCAGTTCTCCTTCCAGATGAAAAAAGGGAAACAGAGCAGGTTAATGGAGTGTCTGGCAAGTGCCCAGCACCATACTAGGAGTGTTTTCTGAAACCTCTTTTTTTTTTTTTTTTTTTTTTTTTAAATCTTTACATATGAACAGTCCTTTTTCTTTTAACTATACTTTAAGTTCGGGGATACATGTGTAGAATGTGCAGATTTGTTACACAGGTATATACGTGCCATGGTGGTTTGCTGCACCCATCACCCCATCATCTACATTAGGTATTTCTCCTAATGCTATCCCTCCCCTAGCCCCCCACCCCCGAAAGGCCCTGGTGTGTGATGTTCCCCTCCCTGTGTCCATGTGTTCTCATTGTTCAACTCCCACTTATGAGTGAGAACATGTGGTGTTTGGTTTTCTGTTCTTGTGTTGGTTTGCAGAGAATGATGAGCTTCATCCATGTCCCTGCAAAGAACATGAATTCATCCTTTTTATGGCTGTATAGTATGCCATGGTGTATATATGCCACATTTTCTTTAGCCAGTGTATCATTGATGGGCATTTGGGTTGGTTCCAAGTTTTTGCTATTGTGAACAGTGCTGCAATAAACATACGTGTGTATGTGTCTTTATAATAGAATGAATTATAATCCTTTGGGTATATATCCAGTAATGGGATTGCTGGGTCAAATGGTATTTCTAGTTATAGATCCTTGAGGAATTGCCACACTGTCTTCCACAATGGCTGAACTAATTTACACTCCCACCAACTGTGTAAAAGTATTACTATTTCTCCACATCCTCTCAGCATCTGTCTCCTGACTTTTTAATGATTGCCATTCTAACTGGTGTGAGATAGTATCTTCTTGTGGTTTTTATTTGCATTTCTCTAATGATCAGTGATGTTGAGCTTTTTTTTTTTCATAAGTTTGTTGGCTGCATAAATGTCTCCTTTATGAAAAGTCTTATAGCTCGGGGAGGAAATTCTACATTTCCCAAGGCTATATGCAACTTAATGACCAAACTGGCACTAGGTCTCAGGGCTCTTGACTTCTGGTGTGGGGCTTATTTAGAGGGATTCATATAGCTTTTGCAAAGAATGTTTTCTTAAACCTGATTTAGAAGACCACAGAGAATGGTACTATAGTTCATCCATTCTAAGGTGCACATTGTTTTTACATTTTAATGTCTCCGAAATGGGGGTGTCTTACGGTTATTGACTCTTATGCTTTTAATTGGCATCATTATCTTAGTGGTATGTACCATAAGAGTTTGTCTTTAGATTTGGTGACATTAATTATGTTTGGTGTTTGGGGGTTTTGACTCTTTTTAGAGTTTGGTTTTTTAATATATATGTCTTATAGTTTCAGAATTTATTTTTAAACTTTAACTTTTTGTTCATACCTTGGAAAAAAATACATTTAGTCAAATCAAGTTCCAGGACATATGTGTCTCCTGTGAGCCAGTGAATTTCATGTTGATTGACAATCATCTTGCATATAGGTTTTAGTAGTTTCAAATTGGCATGTTGCCGGAATCCTGCAATGCTATGCTTGAATTTATGCTAACTAGCTCTGTTTTGAGGAGTTGGTGATTTTCTCTTTTAGCTTAAAAATTTGGCATCAGCTGGTCTAAAGTGAAATTTCAGATGTAGCCCTTGTGAATCTCGTAGTGGTCATTTCCTTATTACCACTGGATAAAACATCTATTAAATAGTTATGCAATAGATGTGGAGTTTTTAGAGTACATAATTTTGTTTTTTAAATGGATGTCGGATGAGTGAGAACAAAATCCTAGTGTGTATTCCATTTTAAAGTAATTAAGTTGGAATTAGCTTTCATCTTAAACCATTTCTGAATTAGAATTCCAAGTCTCCCCCACCCTCCCTGCATTTTCTTACACATCATTTGATACTTTTAAACCATTTCTTATGGTCTAAGAGGTTTATTTTTTTAAATTTTAATAAATTTTATTGTGTATATTTAAGGTAAACAACATAATGTTATGAGATACATATAGATTACCTCTGAAGTTGAATTTTAGGATATGTCACTTGCCCCTCCTATATAACTGCCTGTACATTTTCTTGTTCGTTGAAAGGAAGGCACATTGTTATTCTCAGCTGAACCCGGGCTTACTGCTGTTTTTCACAGAAGTTTCAGCTCTGTATTTCTTGATTACCTGCAGCTAACATTGCTGCCAGGTGCCCCACTATAAGCTTGGGGAACTTACATTTCACACTTGGGGGATGAGTTAATTATGAGACAAATCAGAGAATGAAATATATAAGGAAGTACCAATTGTGCAGTGTAGATGTTAATCATGACTGGCTTTTGTAATAGTTACTAGCAAATGTTATCTGTTATGTGACAGATACTGTGCTAAGTCCTTTACATATGTTTTATATTTAATTTCCTTGGAGAATTTAAAAGGCATTTTCCCCCTTTAAAGATAAAACTGAGGCACAGGGAGATGAAGTAACTTAGCCTAGATCACACAGATGTGAGAAAGCTGAAAATCTGAGCACTTAACCGCAACACACAGTATTCATTTCTCAGAAGGAACAATGTGAGTTGTTGTAAAGGACCAGAGAAGTCTTCCTGGGTGAGACAGGTTTAAAACTTGAGCCTTCAGAATTTGTTTAAAACAAAAATGACTGAGCATAGAAGGGTCAGGATGAGGTGAGGCTGAGGCAGCACGTTCTTCTGTGTGGTGAGGGTTCCCAAGAAGGGCCTGAAGGGTCTTGAGGGAGAGGCGTCCAGGTGTGTGGTCCATGGACAAAGGCCTCAGCTCTCCCTGGTTCTCTGGATAATGAAGGGCACTTGACGGGCTCTCTTTGATTCCACGTGGAATAGCCTAAAACACGCTCTTTTGTCATGCATTCTTGTTGTCTGCCAGTGTTTTTCATACATGCGAACACTGACTGACCAGATTCTCTGTAAAGCTATTGAGGACCAGTAATGTGCTTACTGCTGGTTGGTACCATGTTGAATCCAGTGATGGGTCGCTTGGTGGATGTGATCTCAGGATACATGGTTTGTAAAGATACATTGTTCCTGACTTCTTCAAAAGGGTCTTCAGAGAAGTGTGGATTTGGTATCAAAACCAGTGTTCTCCTTTTTTAAGGAGGAAACTGGTTGAGAGAGCTGAGAGATTTGGTTTGGTAATACTTTTTAGTATGAAGCATTATCTTATTGTGTTAAAATCAAGTCCTGCTGTAAGTACCATAGACTCTGTAATATTTTGGTTTCTTTGAATGTTGATTATACTCAGGTAGTAGAAAGACTAAATCCTTTTGGAGTATATTGTTAATTTTAGCTGTAGTAAAAAATGAAATCCCAGAGGTTCTCCTCTCAGTCATTTTATGGCCGTCTTGTTAGATTGCGAGATTAAAGAAGTAGACCTCAATTTACAAGTGTGGATTGACATTCTATACCTGGCTCTTCTCCAAGAGTTGATCTCATTTTATCCAAAAACATTAGAAATCAAGCACACCAAATGTGGATTGACACAGTTTAATTTGCTATATTAGTTAAGCCACAATTAGCAGGGTAAAACTTCCATGGTCTGTCTAGTGCGAGTGCGCCGAGTGATAATTCTCTAAGCAAAATCTCATTTCAGTATCCAAACTAAAAACAACAACAAAAAAACCCTTAACTTGTTTCTTCTCAGAAGCCTTTAGTTTGTACATTTAAATTCATGAATGTGTCAGTAGTGTTTTTTTTTAATTTCCCTCCCCGCTGCCATGGCTAGAAAAAAAAAAGACTTGAGTTTTTCCATAATATCTTTGTGTAGCTTCAGTTGTCAAATGGCATTTTGCTTGAATTAAAAAATATAAAATAAAGCAGCAAGTGAGGGCTTAAAAATTACAGCCAGCTTCTGCAGCTGTTGTTCAAATAAAAAACTACCAGTAAATCCTATTGCATTAGCTACACTGAATTTGTAACAGTCTACATTGCATGAAGTTGCTGGAAGTCTCTGGGGATGAAGAAAGAGTAAATCTTACATAGAGGGAAATGATTAAAGTTGCAATATCCCCTTTGCAAGCGAAAAGAAAATGTAGACCTCCCCTTTGGACCTAATCTAACAACTTGTAGGAAAGAAGAATGCATTTGTAAAATTTTAATGGGAAACAAAGAGTTTGATTATTCTAGTCCTACCAGGCAGAGTTTTTAATGGCATTTTGAAAGGGTCTCACTTTTATCCATCACTGTTGTTAAAATGAAGACTTGAACTAGTTTGTAGTGTGTAAATGTATAGAAAATTGCTTCTTGTTTCCCCTCTTTTTTTTTTTTTAAGCGATTTAACAGGTATTTGCCCATGTGGTATTGTGATTTAAAATTATTGTTTGTTTTAGTTTTAAAAACAATATGTGTTTAACAAGAGAAGTAATCTGATTCCCTTGAGATAACTATTGTTAACAGCCTTGACTGCGTCTTTTTTATATTGCTTTAAAAAATTAATGTTTGGATGAAAAGCCAAATCTTAAAGATGTGATCTCTGAGGTGCTTTACAAAATACTCTACATGACAGTCCTTAGGAAGGATGTACTTTCTGAAATAAACAAAAATTTTTTGTTTCCTTTAACCTCTTTTTTCCCCCAAAACCCACCACAAAATGGTTTTTCTTGGTCTTAATTTTTGTCTATCTTGAATTTCATTTTGTGCCTGTTATGAGGATTTTCTTAGGGATAAAAAGAGAACCTGCTGAGTAGGACTGAGCACATAAATGCAGCAGTTCTGATCCTTGTCCCTCAGTTAAATGCCGTCTTCTTTTCCAGCCACATGTAGCCTCTGTGGGAAGGATGTCTTCTTCTCTGTCCTGTGAGGAGGGTCCTGGCTCCCGCTGGCTATAGGAACAGTACTGGACAAGCCTTTCCTTGAGATTGTCACCTGCTTGTTTGAAGACTGATGACTGATTTCCCTTTTCTATAGTCATTAATCCATTATCTTAAGATGCTGTGACAAAACTGATTGTGAGGGCCGATTTTCTGTGGGGAAGGATTTTTTGTTTTGCTTTTTCTCAATGAGAAAGATTGAGTTCTGGGTTGGTGGAAAGCACAAGTCGTCGCTAACCCCCCAAGGCACTGAGAGGATGGCAGGGTTATCTGAGAGACAGACCAGTGCCCTGGCGGACACCTCTAGTCTTGGAGTTGCTAGATCCGTCTCCCCTCCACAGAGGGTGTGGATTGGAGGGGAGGCATCCCAAGAGGCGCTCAGCTTGGTCCATGAGTACTCACCCAGGGCAAAATTTGAGCAAGAAAGACCCCAGGGCTTCCTAGAAAGTATGTTCTCTGCTGGGAGGGAAAGCAAAAAAGAATGTCTTGCTTAACCTGTAGAGATAACTGTACTGGAAAATGAAAAGAAATTGTTGATAAAAACTAGGAGTACTTTTGTTCCAAATAAGCCTTTTTAAAAAATTTTTTTGAAATGTAGATTAATTTTCCACAGGAAAAGTGACTCCCTCAGTATATTCCTTTGAAACTTGTTGTGAGAAGCAGCTACTGTTGTAAAGGAAGGGAGGGAGCTGGCTATCCCAGTGGGCATGTGTGTGCTGATTTAGGGGCACCATTGGGTCCGCTGCCTTCCTAAAGTGTTCACTGTTACTTTAGACAATCCAAGGCTTATCTTAATGTTATACAAGGATAACAGAGATCAAGAAAAATCCACAGAAAATTGGAAAGTATTTATTTTAGCCTTTAGTTATAAAGACATTCCCAACTGGTTTTATCCAGTCTGTCTACAAGAGTCAAAATCAATTTAAGTTACTTTTCCTCCCCATCACTCTTACCCTATTCCTCTGTGTGAGCCAGTAGGCTTAAAGTGGCAGATATAATCAAGGAGATTGAATTTAAGGAGCTCACAGAAGGAAAGAGAAATTCACATGTTGTCTCTTCCTCCACTTCAGGGTATTCCTGCCGATTGGTATCGCAGAATATGGCCCTTATCTTATTGAAGGAGGACTCTTTGGATGTAAGTAGCTTTTCGAAGCTGTATTTTCTAGAACTGTATTAAACTCTTTGTTTCTACTATCATTGATAACTAGGGATCATGTTTTGCTAAAAAACAATTATGAAACAACTGTGTTTATTTTCTGTTCATATTAATATTTATGAAGGGATGTTAGAAAGCCTTATCTTTAAACATCAAAACAGTAAGCTTAGAATATTGCCCCATCATAATACTTTTATTCTTCTAGAATTGTACATTTAAAATGGGATAGTTTCAGTCTTGTTTAGCTTTAATCATTAAATGTGAAATATTAATGAAACCTGTTATGACCTACATTACATAGTGATGGTTAACTTCACTGTAAGTTACTATGGAGACATGCATGATTTTCTTTCTAGCACAAACGTTAGAATAAAGCTAATATTTAAGTGTTAAGTGTTGTTTAAATTTATATAGTAAGGCCAGATGCAGTGGCTCATGCCTATACTCCCAGCATTTTGGGAGGCAGAGGCAGAAGGATCGCTTGAGCCCAGGAGTTTGAGGCCAGCCTAAGCAACATAGTGAGACTCCATCTCTACAAAAAATGGAAAATGGGCCAGGCATGGTGGTGTATGCCTGTAGTCCCAGCTACTTGGGAGGCTGAGGCTGGAGAATTGATTGAGCTTGGGATGTGGATGCTGCACTGAGCTGTGATCATACTATTGCTTTCCAACCTCGGTGACAGAGTGAGACTCTGTCTTGAAATGATAAAAATTATAATTCATTTATATATTAATAGGATACATATACACTTAATTCTCTGATGTCTCAGTGCTGCCACATGAACCCACCCCATCATGGCATAAAAGCCACCGAAGGGACCAGCAGTGTGAGCTGATTTGAGGGTTACCAGTAACCTGTGAAGTGGTTTGATATGAAAATATAAGCTGAGCAATGAGATTCCATTTGTCAGAGCTTTTAACAAGGGTGTTGTTACTGGCAGGCACCCATAGCACCCTTCCATGCAGTATATTTAACATTTATATTTAGCCAATGCCAGGGGCAGTTGGCACAGCTAATTACACTTTTAAAGGGAGGCAATAAAGTAGAGAGGCTTCTATACTTAATTTCCCTCCCCTCTGCCATGCCTAGAACACAACCGCAGTGTCTATATTGAGGCTCCCTTTTTTCTGATGATTTTCTGATTCAAAGGTATCTACAACTTGAAAAAAGCCTCTTTTTTGCTGGCAGTAACTCAGAAGTGAGTCTCAGTTTTCCCCTTATATCAGATGTTCTCTGGAGTCTAAGAGATGGACTTTTAACTCTATGTACACATAAAACTTGCAGCACACATTGAGACTTCTGGTTTACCTAGACCAAAGAGTGGTTTGTGATGCCAAACTGAGAAGGTTTTATGGATGTGTACCTGACTTGCCTTGGTTTAACCTCCTAAGAATGATTCTTCCATAACTACTTTTGAACTTCATCTTTTAGTATAATTACTGTAATGTATTCAGTATCTACTGAGCAGAGGTGCACTTTGTATGTACGTTTTTGTTCATTATTCAAAAGGGCACTCCATATTTCTGACTAGTGTCTACCGAGGAAGTTCCCCTCCTTCATTGCCTTCCCCTCCCACTCATTCTTTATTTGGGTTAAAGCCATTCCTATTCTCATTAAAACTGCATTTGGTGGTGGTGAGGGGGATAAAAGCAGCATCCTAGGGCAATAAATTAGATAATACAGCAGAGCTCTGGTGGATCTCCCAAGTTGAGCTTTTAAGGTCTCAGGGCTCAGATGATGATGCAGACAAGAAAGGCACACAGAAAATGGCCCAACAATTAGAAGCATTTGGCCTGGCTTCTCTGTATTTCATCTCTCATATAAGTGTGAGGGGATAAGGGGCTTACCTCAAACATCCAGACCTGGCCCCAATCACTTTCAGCAGACCAGTAAGTATGGCCAGGTTCAGACTCCAAATATTGCAAACAATTAGGATATATCTCTGTGTTTTGAGTTTTTCATATGCTACAAAAATAACTTCTAAGCTCCATAATATAGATGAGATCAGTGGTCTTTGAAACAAAGGAGGTGATAGTGTACACCCCAGGGGAACACTAGATGATAAAATGCAGGGAAAAAGTTGTGATTTCCATTTTTTCAGTCAAAAAAAGTATTGCAAGATTAGCTTTATTGATAATACATAAGGATTGCCACTGGTACCTCCCATTTTTTTCCCTGGCACACTGACCATATATCAGTTTGAGAGGAATGGGTAGGAGGATAGAGGTGTGGCATTTCAAGTGAGAAAGGTTGTTACTGGGACTCTCACTTTTTTGTTTACTTTTAGCCAATTGTGAAATACTGTCATTCATGTGTACTGACTAAATGGACTTGTGTACTAGAGTTAGTTTTCATTAAAATGACTCTCACAGATGCTAACTTAACAGAATTCTAGTTTTTAAAAAAAGTGAATTGAGGATAACAATATTGTAGGCAGAAGCTGCAATGATTTGGCTTTGCTCAATGTGTGTGCCACTTCTAGCTCTTCTCAGCTACTTGATAGTTAAGGCAGTTATCTGATCTGACAGATTAAGCAAGTTTCAAAATTATTCACAAGATTATTGTCGTTAAGCATGAAAATGTATATGATATCTTGAAATACTAGCTGTGGTAATATGAAATTGTAGGAATTAATGAGATTTTAAAAAACTAAGAATCTTGAGTAAGAGAATAAAAATCTAGAACTTTACCAGCAGTTTATTTTTTTAAGAATGTTGTAATCTAATCATTTACTCTAAAATTTCACAAAGTCTACTGCAAAGTATCAATGATAAATGTCTTTGGTATTTGTTAGTAAAGGACAAAAAGTGCCGAGCCACTTGGAGAGCATTTGGCTTTCCTGCTGCAATAATATAGAGAACACAGTGTAGCAATAATTCAGTTGAATATGGGTGGAAGACCTATACGAAACCTTGCCAGGGTGTGTGTGTGTGTGTGTGTGTGTGTGTGTGTGTGTGTGTGTGTGTTTCTTTTAATTTTTTATGTGTATAGGTTATTGGAAAACAGGTGGTATTTGGTTGCATAAGTTCTTTAGTGGTGACTTGTGAGATTTTGGTGCACTCATCACCTGAGCAGTATACACTGCACACAGTTTGTAGTCTTTTATCCCTCACCTCCTTCCCACCCTTTCCCCAAGTCCCCAAAGTCCATTGTGTTATTCTTATGCCTTTGCATCCTCATAGTTTAGCTCCCACTTATGAGTGAGCACATACAATATTTGGTTTTCCATTCCTGAGTTACTTCACTTAGAATAATAGTCTCCAATCTCATCCAGGTCACTGTGGGAATGTAAACTATTACAACCACTATGGAAAAAGGTGTAGAGAGTCCTTGAAGAACTAAAAGTAGAACTGACATTTGATCCAGGAATCCCAGTGCTGGGTATCTACCCAGAGGAAAAGAAGTCATACAAAAAAGATACTTGCACACACGTTTATAGCAGCACAATCCACAGTTACAAAAACGTGGAACTAACCCAAATGTCCATCAAACAACAAGTAGGTAAAGAAACTGTGCTATATATATGTGATGGAATACTACTCTGCCATGAAAAGGAATTATTTACTGGCACTTGCCAAGGTTTCTAATAAACAAGTAATTGAACAAATTGTGAAATAGAAGACGTTTACTACATATTTGGATAAAAGTGTGGCTGTTTCTAACGTGTTTCAACTTCTGGAATAAGCAAAAGGTTATTGTTTTTGAGAAGCCACCAAAAGAAAGATATACTGGCAAAGATGTGTTTGCTCAGAGCAAAGCATTAATTCTTTAACACAAAAGTTTTATGAAATAAGTATGGACAATCACGGATGGAAAGGCTACTGAGGACTGAAAATGGAATCAGATAAAATTCATTAATGATGCCTGTGGCAGAAACTACATTTCCCAGCATCCCTGTGGATGGATGTGTCCATGGGATTAAATTCTCATTGGTGGAATGTGAGCAGAAGTGAGGTACTAGAAGGAAATCTCTTGCCCTGGTTCCTCAGCTCTTTCCATTTTGCTGGCTGGAAATGGTATAAGGCTGGAGCTACTTTGGGGACTGTTGATTGGGCACATCAGAGTTGCTCCCCTAGATTAGGCCCCTAGATGACTTTGGGAAACAGAATCTGCAGATTCCCTCTGGAATATTTTCCTGAGAAAAGGTTATATAGTTTGAACTGTTGCATAGGGGGTAGTCTCTTTGTTTATCCTTACCCTACTAATAGTACAGAACCTAATATTGAAAGTAGGGTCAATACAGGCTCTCCCGGCATCAGACAGTGCAGGGCTGTCCTCAGAGAGTGAGTAGGAGGGTCTGATGCTGCTGGCAAAGGAGAGCTAATGGGATTTGAAGGTCAAGTGATTTGGATTCATTCAGACCAATACATGTGTCCTCATTCAGGTTCTTAAGGTCCCACTCTTTCCCATCAGGGCCCTAACTTCCATGGAAGAGGCCTGATTAGTCTATGACTGCAACATTCATTGAATTCTACAACCCACAGAATTAGCTTTTCAGGCTGCATATGTCGGGCTGCTATGAGAGAAGTTCTCTTAGTCTGTCATAGAGACGCTCTTGTCTTCTGACTTTGTCTTGACCTCTGATTTTGTGATTCTCATTCTTTAAGCTTCCCAGTGCAGTGAGAAGTGGCTGACCTATCCTTAATCTTGTATTCTTTCTGCCCTAATGGTATATTTCAACAACTGCACGACCTGCCACAGACTTGGCTTTAATAGACCTTACAAATCAATCACAGGTAATGATTTTAAATCAACTCTATTGAGATATAGTTTACATACATACAATTAAATGTACCCATTTTAAGTGTACATGATGATGTGTTTCTACAAATGTATATATGCATGTAATTACCACTCAATTTAAAATAATGAGCATTTTCATGATCTCAGAAAGTTCCAGCCCTCCATATCCCCAGGCAACCACAGACCTTCTTTCTAACACAGTGGATTAATTGTGCTTGCTTAGAATTTCATATGAA